CAGAGAACCTACAGCTTTAATAAAGATCGGATTTTGTGGGGATTTTAGTGTCCCTTGTCATCCTGAACTTTTTTTCTTCTTAAATCCTTCGGTTTTGTTTAAATCCACACTTTTAGTGCCACAAACTCTGCTCGTCCGGCTCTCGCTCTAACTCCCGCTCTGATGAACTGCTCTGATTGGTCAGAGCACGTGCGTGAGGCCCGGTGTGAGAACTATAATAGATCCATGTGTGAGACCCACACACGCGTGTTTGGCGCAACGCATTATGGGAGATCATCCACTGCGCAGAACCGGGAGGACCAGACGATGCCCAAATGGTATGAACTATGGAAGACTATTGGCACCTTAAAACAACTCACCATCAAATCCACTTTTTTTTGCTGATAAACGGTATAAATGAGTGTCCAATAGTGTTGTCTACATATCCTGGTCATAATCTTGTCACTTTGGTGCAAATTAGTTGAAAGTTAAACTTTCTGCCTAAAACCGTCTGTGAGGCGCCATCTGCTGGCGACATGTATTACTACATTTGAATTTTGAATCTGGCGCCAACACTGGCGCAGAAGTTGGACCTGACGTCTGCAAGTTGGACCTGACGTCAGCAGCCCCCCGCCCAGAGCAATGTAAACGGCCCAGTCTCGTTCACGCCCCCTTTAGTCCTCCAGGCTACGCCCATTTAGAGGAAGATTTGAACAGGAAATGTGAGTAACGTAAGCTCCGAGGAGCGGGGGTGAGAACCACTTTAATTCAATTGTCACTTCATTTGTCAAATGGCTATGCATTATATTATTTTAGTATTTATTTTGTATTTGTATTTGTCAAAGTGTAATGTTATATCCAATTTTGACATTTAATGTTCTATTCCAAAAGTTCTAATGGCAATTCAATATGTAAAGTGTCGATACAATGTCTTTATATATTGCAAATTACAAGATTTTGAAATGAATAGCATATTGACAAGAAAATTTGGCCTCTTTATTCATTGTTCTATTCATTCTTAACATGCAATTTAGTTTAAAGTTGTATTTGGAAAAATTGCATGTTATATCCTATTTTGACTTGTATTCCACATTTGAGTATGTTAAGTTTCATTTAATGTGTTATGAAACAGCACCTCCCTCTGGATTGCATATTGCATATTGCATTACCACATGGTTTGAGTGCAACTTAATTCAATATGCTATGCACTGTTCTTGGCCCCTGGGAAGGCGGGCCCTGGTCCGCTCTCGGCCAATCAGAGACGAGTCTATATCCTCCTAGCTAGATGCGCTGTGTTGTTGATTTTTGCTGGAAGTAAATGCTGTTATGACGGATTGGAAGTAACAGATCACCCTTCATGAAGATTCCAAGTTACTCTAAGGAGGTTCTATGTAAGTATAGAAGTGTGTTTGTTTGTTGTGTTTGCAGGGAGTTCAGCTTCCTGATGGCCTTGTGAATGAAACTGTTTTTAAGTCGACTGGAACTGTTCCGTAAATTCTGCAGTCTCCTCCCTGAAGGCATTACCCTGAAGAGCCTGTGTGATGGGTGCGTAGGGTGTAGGGTCCCTGGTGATATATATATCACCAGGGACCAGGATATAAAAATATGCGATTTCTTTTCATAGATTTGACCAAAACAAATCTCAATTGAAGCCAATGGAGAACATCTTATCGAGATGACTTATTACACATTGGGTTGTTTGATTTATAAATACACTTTTTCGATTTCAAACAGCAATGATTAAAGAATAAACCATCTTTGCTGCATGTTAAGGGAAATGTAAGGTTCCGAATAAGCATTTTGCAGGTCTACTTTTTTCACAATGGAATAAGGTAGAGGAAGTTAAGGATATTTTAGGCAATGGAAATCATCAAATAATTAGTTTTTTCAACCCAAGGCATTTATGGGAACTTGTGAACGCTCCACAGCTTTTATCACATGAATACATCTGATGTTGATAGTCTACAAAGTGTCCCGTGTTCTTTTCCCTTTATTGGCATAATGTTTATCTTAGTGCAGCCAGTTCCTATTCTGTGAAAGCAGAAGAATGGTCCAAGAACAACGGTCTCTACATATCAACACACACAGAGGTCACCCAGCTGTGATAAGAAGCCAAAATACACTTGACTAATCTGCTTCATCTCCCAATTTATTGACGATGAAAACTTCAAAAAGACCAGAAACTTGAGCCACATGCATTTTACTCACCATGGCCAATGCAATTTCCACTGTTGTGTGGGCTGAGAGGGAGGGGCATGCTGGGAACTGATATTATAAAACTGATATCTCAGTTTGATCTTTCAATGTTTCAAAGGAGAAAAGGGTGCACTGTGTAACATTTGAGGGCCCCCATCTGCTTGTCATTATTTAGAACTGGGATGGTTACGGCATTACTGGTAAAGAAGCAGCATGTGATAGCATCAGATGAAATTTCAATGCTTAGATTTATTTACTTACTGTATTTATTTAGTGTGCAAATGTGCATATGATACAAAATTTGAGTTTCCACGTCAAGTTTTTGATCTATGAAAAAACATCTTGGCTTAAAATCAAGTGATTTGGTCCAAAAAATTAAAACAAATCCATATTGGAACTCCAAGGGATGAGGAGAATGAGATCTGTCATCTGTGGTAAGAAAATACGTGATTTGTTAAATTTTGGTTTTGCATGTACCTAAACAAACTTATTTGGTTTCTACATATTGCCTGCATGATCTAACTTGTTTCTAGCTCTCAAAACAGTTTGGTTCTATCAGTTTTCAAATGCGTTTTAAGATCAGCAAAGTGAAAAAGAGAGGACCAGCCTTACTCAGCTCTCAGCCCAAAGCTTCAAATAGTGACTCACAAGGCTTTTTCTTACAAGTATTCAAAAGATAACATTTTCTATGAGATGAAGACAGCATGTTGTGGTCTGATTTGTTTACAATGCGTTTACAATACTTTATCTGTAGGGCCAAACACAACTTATTATTTGTTAAAAAAAAAGGCACCCCAGCTTTAATAAAATACTCATCCCATTTCCACACTGACCAGCAGACAGCTCTCTATTTATTGGCTGCATTTAGCACAACGCTGATTTAGCCTCGATGACAACCTGTAGCGAGGGGTGAAAGATGATATGCATTCTCTTCTATCCCCTCCTTAAACTTAACTGCCTTCTTTATTAGCTGACCAGTCTTGGACACGACCATTCATTCTCTTGACACACTTAACCGACCCTACATAGCTCCTCCGTGAGTATTACGCCTAGAAGGAATTTATATCATTTTTGGGAAGCGAAAAGTCCTGCGTGTCTGGCACATGGATCATTGCTCACACACAAACTACTGCCCTTTATGGCTCCTACAGTAGTGAGGCCCCTTATATGCAGAGGGCTTAAAATACATAAGTCCTAGATAATCGGCCATCGTCGACGTGCAGGAGAAAAACGCTTGGTGAAGTTTCCTTAAAGAGACAGGGGAATGTGGATTAGGAGCATTAAAAGGACAGGCTGTTCATCTTGATTAGACATTTAGAAATTCCAAAATGTAAGGCCAAGCACAGTTTTTCTTCTTGATTAGGATGTATGTCTTTATAATGGGAATAGTTTGGTGTCATGAGCTGACTACTTCAGACAGGTAGGCACCTAAGAAGCTAAAAATAAAAAAAGTTCTATTTATTTATTTATTTGACAATCATTTATAAGCTTGCTAAATGTACATGTGAATAACCAGTTCAAACACTATAGACAAACGTTGGTTTCTTTCCGCCTCATTAAGTATAATCTTTGTTTCACTGCTACAAACACCACTGTTGGCCAATAACAATTGCTAAAAAACAAATCTACAAAAACTGAAACTGAAGTGCAGGAGACAGAGCGGCAGCCAAACACGAGCTCAGGTTTGGCAAGTGCGTACGTTTGAAAATAATTGTGGTTTTTCCAAAAGGTAATTTACAACCTTCAAACTAAACAGTGGGTAATCCGCAGCAGGAGACGTGTTGGGGCAGATTGACGGGATCTGGCGGCTATTCTGCGCTTCTGCAACCGCTATCAAGCAATATATGCATTCAAAGTTCTCAACAGGGATTGTATCTCCAACTATTGCGTGATTGTGGTTGAGATACTATGTGTAACAGCAGAGAGACAAGATTAAGAATTTGCCCAAAGAACATATTTGAAATCATATCATGGAAACAGTTTATGGGACCAAGCTGGCTTCATGGTGTTAAAGAATATGGTTGGGCTGAGTGGATAGCACTCTTGGCTCTCAGCAAGAAGGTCCTGGGTTCAAATCCTTTCTGAGTGGAGTTTGCATGTTCTCCCCGTGTCTGCGTAGGTTTCCTCCGGGTACTCCGGTTTCCCCTACCTCTAAAAATATGTACAATAGAACTGTGCATGCGCCTTCTGTTCGGCAACCCCGCTCCCATCTCTGTGTGGAGTGAGAGACAAATGCCCAAAAAAATAACAATTGTAAACCGCTTTGTGACTCTGGTCTGTGAAAGGCGGTATATAAATAAAGATTACTTACTTACTTTCTTTTGCATGCATGTAGAAACGAGCCCTGGGAGTCACTATTTGACACTTTGAGCTGAGAGATGATTGGCTGAGTGCGGATGCTCCTCCCTCTGTCGGAAAATGCTGATCTAAAGATGTGACAGAGACTCGCTTAGATACATCAGCTTTAAACGATTCAAGATTCAATCATTTTTGGACATTGTCACAAGACATAAGTCCAAATAGGGTGTAGAAAGTGCAGCAGATGGCAGGATGTAAAGAGGCACAGGGCTGTATGCTCAACACTTAATTCTTTGAGTATTCCATTTACAAGGAGCATAATGAGACTTAACCATGGGAACAGCAAGAAGGTCGCAGTTTGATGATGTGAGACTGCAGATGGGTTCATAAGGTACAACTAAACCAGAGATATGGTGCCAGACTGCGAAAAGCTTTATAGACAAAGCATTTTAAAGTCAATCTATGTAAACCGGTCACCATCTCTGCTCACACTGGATGCCTCAGTGTCCCGGGGTGTGGGCAGAAGAATGTGCCGTGTCCAGGTCTCCGCTGTGGGCTGCATGTCGAGCTGTGGCTGTGTGGTACCACTGGTCCAGCTGGGCTTTACTGCCTCCTCTGCCTCCTCTGGGTCCTCTGCCTCCAGCGGCTCCAGCTCTATTAGGTTACGCACAAGACGGCTGCTTTCACTTAGAGCGCCATTTCATTATTTCTGATTTATCACTGCCATGTTTGCCAGTTGCCATGTTTTCCTTAAGCTTGTCCTTAAAATGTGATTCATAGCATTTAATGATGACAAAGCATGACATGTTAAAAGAAGTTTGTTGGAGGTGTTCCCAGTTTTGGAGGATTGAGGGGCGTCCGGAGCTGCCCAACAGTCCCAGAGCTGTCGACCCTATGGATTCAACAATGAAGCTTAATTACTAAGTTGTGCATGGCGTGCGGTAAGGGTCTCTGCCCTTTTACCCATGAATGCATGAACAACAAATTGTATAATAACCAAATACTGTTGCTGATGGACTGACAGATTTATTTGTCTTTGCTTTACCCCAACAAGTTAATTGCAGATTTAGTTAAGCTCTTTCAGATGTCAGTGATGGGGCTGGAATACATCATGAGATACATTCCGATTGACTAATTGGTGATGTTGAACCACAGAATGTCCAATTATTAGACTAGAACCAGGAAGTACCATCCCATTAGTCCAGATCTCAGGTCTCTGCACTGGCTATTATGGCTCAGAGAATAGGCTTTAAAGCAGCTCTGCTTGTGTACAAGTCTCTCCATGGCTCGCACCAAAGTACATCTGTGACATGTTAAGACCCATATGAACCAACTCGGACTCTGAGGAGCACAGGGACTGGCCTCCTGCTGGGACTCTGAGGAGGACGAGACATGGGGAAGCTGCATTTCTGATTTATGCAGCTAAAATCTGGAAAAGTCTTCTTTGAGTTATTGTGCTATACAAATAAACTTGCCTCATCTAAACTTGACACAGTTTAACTTCTTGCAATAGAGGTGTTACTGTTTGTAGTTGTACAAGTGCAGATTAAATAAGACATAAACTATTATCCCTTCAATCCGTTCAGGAATAAACGTGAATCTTACCATGCTGCATGAATAACCATAAACAAAACTGGTTTTATAATTTAAGCTTTTTGTATTTTTCCATTGTTTTGTGACCCATCATCACTAACACACACCTATCTAGTGAATCCAAATTACAATTTCAACCTGCTCCTTCATATGATATCCGTCACCATCCTACACGGCACTTATAAATTCTCATAATAACTCTCCTATTTATTAACGGTCTGACCATAATCATATCATTAAACCATCTGCAGCTCATTTACAAACAATGCCCCATTGATGAAATGAAATAAAGATCTTGCGAAACTGCCCAGATGCATTTAGAGCGATTGGGACATAGATAAACATAAACGACAGGAAGAAAAACCTATTTTGTAACTTTCCCCTGTGCAACCCTGCATTTAATCTGCCAGGGGCCTCAAGGGACCATTTAACAGCTCTCTCTTTTGCCGGAAGCATTCTGGTGGGGGCACAGGGGAGCGAGCATGGAGCGAGCGAGGAAGGGGAAAGAAAGCAGGCTTGGATTCACCCTCTATTAGCATAATAGAATTAGTGCGAGCAACAAAAGCAGCATTAGTGCGCCCATGGTGGCATTTGGAGAAGATCCATCTCTTTTTGGTCCTAGGGCTGGACCTCAGTGCTTCAGGCGAAAGGGAAATCCACTCTTTGTTAATGTGTTTCAGAGGACTTGCCAGATTCCAACAAGAGCACTGAAAAACATATAGTTGATTGAAGGGCTGTGGCTTGATCTGCCCATCACGACGTTACGGGGTCTCAGACAGTGCACAGAGCTGGTAGTATACACTGGTCCAGTTTACTTATATTGCAATATTGTTATGGTCTGTAAAGTGTATTTTGCTACTCTGCTCTGTAATTCTTGTTTACATATGCAATGTTGGAGATTATTTTATTTTTTTGCTGCTAATGGACAACTGAATTTCTCCTACGGGGATCTATCTATCTATTAAACAGTTATTCAAACTAGTCACTTACTACACAACAAAAAGTATACTTTTTAGTATTTGCCAAAATAATTAATAGGCAACATTTATAGCCGTTAAAAATGAAAAACTAAGATCACACTCTTGACACAAGCCATTAACCTACAGCAGTATTGATCTGCTCTATTCAGAGTGTGGCCCTGTCTACCATAGGTGATCAGTATCATGAGCAAAAAACCACACCAACAAATATTTTAAGAAGATGCTTGTATCGGTTATCAGCCAGATGATATCGGCTGATAATCGAGCCAGTCCCAACAAAAGAACTTCGCTTTTATGAAATTACAGTGCACTGTTGTATATCACTGATCTTCATCTCTTTACGATGGGAGGCCAGACATTATTTTAGATGTATCATATGTAAAATAACATGATAACTTATACTGATCCACATATTTGTAACTCACCTCCTGTGTCAAGGCAGATTGCGCTCCTCCCACACATACCAGCCTCTCTCCCTCTCCCTCCCTCTCCCACCCTCTCCCTCCCTCTCCCACCCTCTCCCTCCCTCTCCCACCCTCTCCCACCTTCTCCCACCCTCTCCCACCTCCTCACATCTCTTTTGGGTTACACTGTGCCTGTGATGTAATGCGTTTACAAAGTGACAGAGTCTTTCAGCTGCTCTGCATCAAACAGCACTCAACGCACAGGCCTGAGTGACGGAGCAGTGACCTCATCTGGATTTGGTGAGGGTGTGTTTTCAAAGCTGATGTCTGCAAGAACAAAGAGATTAGAAATGCAGAAAGGAAGTTTTAATAGATGGGGTTCTCGTGACAATTGCGTGCAGAACTTTCTCATTTGCATCAAATGGCTTGTGTTATGATTTCAAGTGAACTTTTCCTCCACTGGCAGACAATTGGAGGGCCTGATAAAGCTCACAAATCCTGCAAGAGCTTATTGTTGAAGCACATGGTTTGCTGAATGTTTAGTCTTGTGCTTCTCTAATGCAGACAGTCATTAAAGTCCATATGCAAGTAACTTCTAATGGACCCCATGGCTTGTTGTTGTAAAGATATATTACTAACCTTGTACAGTGGTTGTTTACAGATTCGACTTGCATGTGTAGCCTTACATTACTTGCTTGTTTACATTTTAAGGACACAAATTATGCAAAATAATCTATTTTAAGCCAAGCTATTATACAGAGCCCCTGGCATAAGAAAAAATACCTCTTTGCCCAACCTTTCAAACAGTATACGTTTTGACTGATATCAAGAACTGAGCTGGTGTCTGCCTCTAAAAAAGTTGTAGGAATTTCACCCCTTCAATTAGATTGCTCTTTCTCTTGAGACTATCAAATTGTTTCACTCATGGGGAAAAAGATATTCCAGATAATGTAATAAAAGTCACATTATATATGGTTTATATCTATACCATGGATCTATATATATATACTGAAAACAGTGCTGAATGCTGTGTTTTGTAGATCTTTGCTGCCCTCGTGTGGAGAGATGACGGAATAACCTTGGCTCTGCTCATGAATGGGGTGGTCTGTGTGGAGTGAGAAAACGGGATATTTCAGACTGATGGCTTGAGCAGACCACTCACAGTTTAAAGTGGAGGTATAGGATCCATGTCTCACTGTAACAGGCGCCGTATTATAGTCTGAAAGGCTGTAGGAAGAGTAGCCTACAGCAAAAAAGCTTGAATAAACAAACGGTATATGTCGGAATTTAAAGCACGACTGTTGGTTTGATGTAGTGCTTTTGTGCTTGGAGACTTTGATGTGATATAGTGAGCACTTTACTCAAATGTTAAACATGTTTAAGCATAATCAGATTTACAGTACAAACGATCAAATGCATCACCAGTGCATTCACAGAGAGAGAGAGCTGAGGGTTACAACATTTACTCAACTGTACTTTGTAGTGGTTCATTTACTCTTTGATCATATTGTGTAAATGGACAAATATACTCAGACAGATTTTATATATTTTAAAGAATATTCAATAATGATTAGTAGTATGGAAGCTTAGAAGCGAATTTAAGTGGCTTAGTATAATTGTAGCAGTTCTGTTGAGTGCAAGACCAAACACTGTACAAATGAGCACATTATAAAAACAGATTTGAATATTGCTCAAAAGTCCATTTAATTCTGTAATTCAACTTACAATGTGAATCTAAGCCTTGTAAAAACGTCCTCAAAAATGTGATTTGCTTGGCATTTGTCCCTTTGCATGTGATCGGTCTATATCATGAATTGGTTTCACATTTTAGATTGAATTACTATCAAATAAACTTTTGCTTGACGTTCTACCTTGTTCACCTGTTTCACCTCATTCTTACTTTTCAATAGCCGCATAATAAGTGTAAGAATTTTGTTTTCACAGTCCATTTAAACATGGCATAAATCAAGCTTAATTCATTTGACAGAAACATATGTAAAAACTTCAACTACCACCTGACACGGTAATTCTAAGCGGTTTTTTGTTGACTTGTTCAATTGTCTTTATTTTAACAGTAGTCTAGAAGCAGCACATGGAACAATACACCTGACTTTAGAATAATTTACGGTGGCCATTCAGAGAGCGCCTCCAGAGACTGCTGTCAAGAGAGCCAAGCCGAAAACCAAAGGACATGACTTATGACTGCACACTGTAACGCAGATACAATTTTGGGTTGATTAATTGCTCTTTTCAGCCTAACTATTCACCGGATGTTTTGCTTTCGGGTTCAGGCAGGAAAGATGTGGGGTTTGGAGGAGGTTTGCTTTGGACGAGGGACGCGTGGTTGTACCCAGAGGAGCGGAGTCCAAAATGAGCTGATGATCTGACTGTTAAGGGTCCAACTTATATCCGGCGAATTTGCAGAGGAGAAGCCTGAAGAGAAATGCAAACATAGGTCTTTGTGGGACGCGCCCCTCAGGTTGGGACACTCAGGTTACACTGGGGTCTGTGAAGGTTTTATCGTAGTTTGATATAACTGGGGTCCAGAGAGCCATTTAGAAGATAAAATCAAAAGTGGTAGAAAGAATAGAAATATATTAAACTCTGAAAAGTCCATTTACTTCTGTAATTCAATTATACATGACATACTCTATACATACAAAGTGAGATATATCAAGCCTTCAGTTGTTATAATGTTGATAATTGGTTTAAAGCTTGTGAAAAAAAAAAAACAAACACAAACAAAAACAAAAACATCTCAGTAAATGTTATTATTTTGAACAAAGACTGTAAGCCTAAACAACAAAGGCATATGTCACTTTTGCAGGTAAGGAGTCCATGTCATATATTGGTTTCACATTTTAAGTTGAATTACATCAATTTTTGTATAATATTACATGAATATTGTAACAATAAACAATCAACAATATTCTAATTTTCCAAGTTTCATGTTCATGTTTCAATGAACAACACACAGTTGCATTTTGTCAGAGTGACACAAATCTCATCCACATCTAGACATTTTAGCTTCTGAACTGAGGAGTAGAACAAAAGCCTCCAGCTGCAGGGTTATGATCCATATTATGCTGAAGTGAAGTCATAATTGTCCTGTTTCTTTGCAGACAACCAAAATGTGTCAGACCTGTCACTGCTGTATTTTTGCTCTGTCTATGTAACTGTTGACACAGCAGTGAGGATTTCCTACGCCACTTGACATCATCGGTTAATCCTGAGGTGCTGTGGATATTTCCCATGATGCCTCTGTGCTCTGAAGTCCGCTCCTGTCGTGAATGAAGGCTGTTATCACACATGTACTGTACTCCTGCAGGATTAGCCGTGTCTCCCACAAAGACAGACCACACCAGGCGACTCTGACTGAGGCGCATTATTCTCAACATAGAGATATGAAGAAGATTTAGGGATTATTTATTTGTATACTTTCATTATTGACTTATGAGTTTAACCCGTGCTTAAGCGACTCTCTAAATTACAGTTTTCTAAAATGAACATAATAGCACCATCAAGTTTGAGCAATCTAAGAAATTGTAAAGTGGCTTCGCACACGCCCAACTACTGTATAATGCATTACATGATTATTTTAAAATGTGTCACTCAATGGGAGAGGTGCAATGCATGCTGGACAAATGACTTTTACAACCGGTTTATGATCTTTTTTTCTTTTATAATGTCACTACAAAAGAAAAAAAAAATCATATATAATCACTATACTTTTTAGTTGGACAGTTACATGGTTTCTGATCTGGGCGACAGTAGCTCAGTTGGTAGAGCATTGGCCTTCAGGCCAATTCCCACCTCTACACCTTCTCCACTGACTCCCACTGATGACTGCTGTCGTTGTGTCCTTGGGCAAGACACTTAACCCCACTTTGCCCAAAGCCCCCACTGAAAGATCAAGGCTATGCTCACACTCAGAGAGCAGCCGTCCTCCTGTGGACTCACCACCTGCAGAGGGTCAGTGAGGGGCTGGTGCTATGAGACTTGGGTAGCATCTCTGACTGCCAACCCCCCTGACCCAGAAATGGATTAAAGGGTAGAAGATGGATGGAGTTACATGGTGCAGAACCCAGAACATTTTCAGATTGATTGATTTAACATTCATTACATGAAAATACAAAATGTTTACAGATTATGTCTGAAATGGAATAGGCAGAAGCTAAAGCTTATTGCGCCTTTCCCTATTTATAAAACAAAAAAGCTGCCAATGTTTAGCTATACAATTTAGTTTTCCTTTAAACAACAAAACATGACGTTTTTTAAGCTAAGTTTCATTAAAAAAAAAAACAAGTTCCATTAAACAAAAGTTAAGTTTCATTATGTAAGCAAAGTTTGATCACAAATGAAAGTTAAGTTTCATTATAAACAAATCTAAGTTCCGTTGCAAACCTAAATGTATCCTCAATATCACAGTTATTCTACACAAGTAGAGCAATACCAGTTTAATGTTAATGTACTTTAATGTTTTAGGCATTTGAGTTTGCAGGGACGGCAAGCCCAGAAGGACAAACATAATGTTGAAAATAAAGCTTAAGCTGAGTTTTTTTTTTTATTGTACAACTTTTTCTGTGAAGTCCCAATACTCTGTGTGCAGTTCTCAAAACATTACAAGTTTTTACATACGTGTTTTTTGGGGCATTTGTCACATAATTAAATCAGAGAAAAGAGAGGACCACCCTCACTCAGCCAATCAGCTCTCAGCCCAATGTGTGAAACAGTGACTCACAGGGTTCTTTCTTAAATATACAGAATGCAAAGATAACATTGTTTATATTAAGTCGACGACTGCATGTTGTGGTCTGATTTGTTCACAACATTCTACAAGACTCTTCCTGTTGAATCAAACCACATGTTTCATTCATGACTAAAGTTAGGTACCCCAGCTTTAACACATACTTTACAGTACAGTAGCCTTTTACAGTAGTCTCTCATCCACGAGTCATTTGTGGAAGTTGATACTGTAATAGTTTGTTATGATGTTGCAATGGGGCGTAGATCCGGTGGGACCTTCTTACCCCTCAGACCCCTCATACCCCGCTCTACACTGCTGTTTCGATGGGAGCCGTGGCTTTGTGGTTAGGATACGCCTGGTTAAGCTCTGACAGTCGCTTAAATGGAATTAGATAAAAAATGAAGCCCCCTGCACCTGCAACAGATCCTGAGGCAATGGCAGAGATTGCAGAGAGGGAAAAGCGATAGAAAGAGGCGTCTATAGGAGTAATCAGATGGCACAAGTAGTTTCAGTTCGCCGCGGTGGGATGTTGGCCCGGGGCAGAATGTGAACTCAGGGGTGAGACCGGTGGAAATGGTCTAAACACATGTTCAAGACGGCCCACTCAGTCAAAACACTGAGTCTGGAAAACGACCTCACTTAAAATCTAATTAACCAAAATGAGCAGATTAGTAAGGATTGCAGATTTTCCATTTTGTTTTGCTCATTACAAAGAGTCAGATGAGTTTGGTCTAGTATCAACAATTCCCAATCATTTTTAAAGAGGGATACACAGTTCAGTATAGTATCATGTACAGTATCATCGTTTTGGAGACTTAATGTAGCTATTTCTGTAATTGATTTTGAAGGTGTTCGTACTTTCTCTTTGTAAACACGACACGTGTGGGATGGAAGGAAAAAGACGTTTAATTGCTTTTAATGAGAGAAAAAAAAAACAGACATCAAAATCAGCTCTTAATTTTGAGATGACTTTGGACATTCAACTGTTTGGAAATGGAAGTGATGTTCAAAAATGAAGGTCAATATTTGCATAATAGTCTAATCAGAGCACACATTAGTAAAATACCTTGTCAAATATCACGCGGAGGCACGGTGGCTGAGTGGGATGAGGTACGGTGGCTCATCAATATTCGTCAACATTGATCATCTGTTCCTTATGGACCAATGGCTCTATGTGTTTTTTATCATTACATTTATTGTGTTTGATTTTCTGATCTGTGTTGGCGAATCAACGGTTTTGTAAAGTCCTCTGATTTAGGGTTATACAAAATTAAATTGAAATACATTGATTTTCATTTTCTAATAACCTTGAAAGTAAAACTATGGATGAAACTTACTGATAAATGACTCCCAATTCCCAGTGACTTTGTTGACCTCTACATTTGGACATGCTCATCGAGACCATAAACTTGATCAACCCCAAAGGCCCATGGGAACTCGGTGACCTGCCGTTTCCTCAGAGCAGTTTAGTGGCTTCGGCTAATTTACATCAGGCTTTGGTCTCTCTGTTCGGAGCGTGCAACACCAGCCGCTTCAATTGGTCAAACAAATCTCACTTTAGTGCACGTCCAAACGCACTTAATCTTGTTTTTCTGTCGCCTCGTCTTTGAGTCCGAGGCCCCAAAAAAGGTGAATGCCAGCGGGCAGATGGAAGTGATTGTGGAGCTGGAACAAAGAACGAGCCAAGTCTAAATATGAAGAAGGAAGTGTGAAAACAAGACTGATGAAGAGAGCTGGGGTTTGTCCACTGCCTGTAGATGTAACAATAGATGAAATAAATATTCTCTTTCTGCTTTTTACAGTTTAGTTTAGACGCCGTCTCCATCACATTCAACCACACAAAGTGACAACGTGTGGTCGTATATACAGTAGGGGGAACCTAAGGGTACCTCACGATACGATACACAGCTCACGATAACGATAATATCACGATAACGATATGACGATAACAATTTTATCACGATATGACGATTATTGATATATTGGTCAGAACTATACAATATGCCAATTTATGGCATAAATGAAATGGAGATGCGTAATGTAGCCATATATTAAGTATTGATACCAATTTTAAATAAAAAAATCTGTAAAAAAACAAAAAAATCAAAAACGATATCGATACTTGGCAAATGCATATCAATAATCGAATCGCGGGAGAAAGTATCGCGATATATCAAAAAATCGATATCGTCACACCCCTAATATACAGTATATTCATCATTTCTGTGTGTTATCTTAAGTGGTATCTTAATGTGCTTTATTTATCTCACATAGGATTAATTTAATTTATCTATTCTTTGGATTTACTCCTTTTACTATTACTGTATCTCCTTATCATGCTAAGTCAGGGGTTTTTGTACTTGAGTCTTGCTCCTTCACTATGCCAAAGTTGGAGATTTTAGACTTCTTCCCTTGTTTTGCTAAAGATAGTTAGATATTTTAGTATAGAGTTATCAATTTGTCTTGTGCTGTGTGCTCCCCATTCCTACTGTCTGTAACTTGTAATGCAACACTGACATTTCCCCACTGTGGGACAAATAAAGAATCTCTTAATCTCTATACCTCCAGCCAGGCCCGTCCCAAGAGGGGTGCGAGGCCCTGTGCGAACTCGAAACGCGAGGCCCTGCCCTGACACTTTTTTCCCAGATCTGAGGAAAGTTTTTCCTGTTATAATCTTTGACATGAATTCAGCACCACCTCGCGCGGTGCTTGACGAGATCAGCACGCGTGTAACCGAGTGTCTTCGCTCCTATGCAGCGTTTGGCGCGCGCACGTACACACGCACACACACTCTACGTGCAATATTGGTCGCGGTCTTTTTAGCTGACATGTCTCTTTCGTCCTGTGGCAAAATGGTAGAGCAACTCAAAAGATTGAACCAAAAGGAGTCTTTTTCTTCTAATAGTTAGATTTTGGCAAAATGCGCCAAAATGGCTATGAGGCGGAGTCAATATTATTTTTTTCTCATCAAATAACGTTTTTGCCATGCCTCCACACACTCTGACAACATACACTCCTCCTCCACACTGACAACAACAAAATACTCTTCACCTCCTCCTCCACACACTCTGACCACAACAAAAACACTCCAGCTAGCTAAAGCTAGACATACAGTGTGTTTGCTAATGCTTTTAAAAATATGTTTTTGATGTGGATATTCGGACTAAACATTGGCAATAGCAGCGCTCACACACCTGTCACACCGCTGATCCTCCTCCTCCTCCTCTGCTCACACAAAGGGGTCTGCTCCTCTGCTCACACTTGTCTCACTGCTCCTCCTCCGCGAGTATCCATCTCTCCTACACTGCGATCATTCCCGTTACTTTCTTTGTATCTCACTCAGACACTGCTAAAGTTATCTGACAGTTTTTTCGGAGGACCCGTTGCATACATAGCTGCCCGCGCGCCTGCCTGTTTACAAATCGCTTTTGGTGAAAATTTGACTTTACTTGTAAAAATGTTCTTTTGATCAAACGAAATCAAAGAGGTCCAGAGAAAGGGGTTTAGGGTTCCAAATTTGGAGTGCAGTCTGCCCTTTGGGGACCCTTGAACTAGTGTATTTATAAAATAAAATAAAAGGAAGGAAGATTGCGAGGCCCCTGTGTGGTGCGAGGCCCTGTGCGACGGCACAGGTCGCACAGCCCTTAGGACGGGCCTGCCTCCAGCTCATGTGGGGGAATCCTGAGGAGTTCCCAAACCAGCTGAGAAGCATAGTCCCTCCGTTGTGTCATGGGTCTTAAAGTAAAGCTTGATAACTTATAGAATGACATTGGCTCAGTTGGTAGAGCATTGGCCTTTGAGCCTGAAGGTTGTGAGTTCGATCCCCCCACAAGACCTTCTCTACCAACTTCTGGTGTCTGCTGTCGTTGTGTCCTTGGGCAAGACACTGAACCCCACTTTGCCTGAAGCCCCCGCTGAACGATCAAGGCAATGCTATCACGACAGAGCAGCCATCCTCCTGTGGACTCACCACCTGCAGGAGGATCAGTGAGGGGCTGGTGCTGTGTGTACTGGGTGCAGCTCTGACTGCCACCCCCCTAACCCAGAAATGGATGAAGGGGAAGAAAATGGATGGATGGACGGATACTTATAGAACATCTTATTTGCTTCAACAGAAAGAGTTCTGCAAAAGTAAAATTAACAATGAACAAACAAGACCACAAAGTGCTACCTTCATCGTGTCAAAAAAAAAGTCACTATTTGATCATTGAACCTAAGCAGGGATTGAGTTGGTTAGTTCTCTGATGGGAGGCTGCTGTGTCCTCAGGCAAGACACTAATTGTCCCAGTATGAATGTGATCTCAGGTGATCATAGGGACTAATGATGCAGAGATAGCCTTGCATCCCTTAAAGTCTGCTCCGGGGCTTTGTAGCCTTTCGAGTGAAAGGAATGATTAATGCAGAACACTTTCAATGTCTTGATATTTTAATCCAACACATTATTAACACCATGACCATTTATTTTGAGACGCTAGATATCTTCTTTTTACTGTCACATCTATTCAATTACAATTGAATAATTCAATTTAATGTGGCTATAACATAATCGTAAACATTAATTGATTGAATAAAGAAAATAATATTTACGCTTATGAGTCACATTATGACATTTTGGGATGAGGGTTGAGCTGTTTGCAAAAGCTGTATCCATAAACCCTGCGTGTGCACAGGAGTGATGAGCCAAATAGTTTCTGAGAGCTAAAAAAAAGTTCAATCAGGCCCAAAATAAACCAGTCGTAATGATAAAGGTAGATGTCGTATGATTCTTTAAATCACTGTCACTCCTGTTGTATCAATGGGTTCGAACATTACAAATGGGATCAATTTAGTCTGATTATCTGGGTTATTTGCGTTTCTCATTTTAACACTAGAACTCCCAGCGCCGTCATTTCCCCCAAAAATGTGTTATCAAAAGTCATTCATGAGTGTTTTAACCTTTACTTACTTTTAATAAGTGCTGAAACTGGTGAGAATAACTTGAAATACAGCAAAAACATGTAATAAGGCCACCAAATTGTAATTGTGAACAGTCTAAAATGGTTTTGTTTTTCCACCAGAGGAGAGCAAGAGCTGTACTCTGGTGGAAAAACAAAAACAAGTGGGAGCAGAGCAGTCTATAGGACCAGAACCAGTCCAGGACCGGTCTAGAACCAGCTAGAAAGAAAGTGACTGAAAATGGCGATAAATGAATGGAGCTAAAGGTAGAACTCTTCTCTTTCTAAAGAAATAAAAGATAATTTTCATGAAACAGATATAAACTGCATATAGAAACAAAAAACGTCAAAGTTATGAGGACAACAAAGATACATAAGCTGAGTAATTACACTTGTAAAACTATAAGCCGTCAAATTGACTGCTCTGGTAGTTTAGTGTGCTCCAGTGGCTGTGGCATCGTGTGCAGTGGGACAGGTGCTGCATACTGATGTCCTGTTGGACACTGGCCCCTCTCTCCAACAGTCATTCATTAAACCATTTCAGGCACACAATCCGCTCATTTGTGTGGCCCTCTGTCTCTGCAAAGGTTTTCTTCTGCTTCTTGGACCAAACAGACACAGGCCAATGAATAAGTGTGAGGCGCTCAAAGCAGAGGGCTGGCAAGGGGTCTGCAGCCAGCTGTTGGCGTGGCATCTGAGCGAAAAAAGAAAGCAATTAATCCCAGAAAACCAGTTCCAACAGGAAGTTATTCATTTAAGGGACAGTTTGATAAATGCACCAACTTTTTCTAACTCAATCTACCTGGCTGTGGACTGGCCCCTCAATGATCCTGTGGTGATGTATTAGGTCGCGGTATAATCAGGGACTGTTTTGTTTAAAAGATGGTGGGATTAACATAAGAGCAACAGCAGCCTCTAGTGTTTGAAAGCTGAACTTCATTATTTAGTAAATTGTCGGTTGTAAAGAACAACTCATTTTGAGGATCCGATCTGAACATAACATCTAAATTAAGAAAAGGAGAATGCAACGCTGGTGGAACACTCCAGGCTACATGGAAAAAAGGCAAGAGCTCATTGTTAATAACATTTTATTGTAGACCATATATACATATACCTTTTCTCATGTTATATATTTTGTTTAAAGCATTAGGCTTTCAGTAAACAATGAACAATACAAATTATGACACTGATACAATTCCTCTCTCAAAATATTCTGTTTAAGACATTTCTCCTCCGAAGGCTAAACAGTAATATTTTATTTTTACAGACAAGCAGCAGAAATGAATGACACGAGCGGCAATTCCTGTCAACATTCTTTTTTTTTTTTTTTTTTTTTTACATTAGTATGACATTTCAGCACTACCACAAAAATTCTATAGACCCATGTATGACATCTCAGTCTGCATTCAAACACAGCACCATGAGGCAAACATCCACAACAAACGACACCAAGTTTAAAGTCCATTTCAGAAGTGAAGAAGAGGCTGCACATGTATTCTTTAACAAAAGCAAAGTTGAAAGTCAAATTAAAATGTTGTAAGAGATTATTCAGTGGTTCATTGCAATTATCTAAGTCACAATAAGAACAAAAACAAATTAGCATGACCATTTTGGAAGCAACATAAAGTCCATTCAATATTCTACTTCGACTTTATTAAACCAGTGGGAGATCAAAGTGTTGTAGCTTTAATGATTGTCAGTTATCAAAATCCTCCTTATAATGTCAATGTAATCTGTATAATGTCAACTGGTCATGTTTGCATGTACAGCCATATTGTTCAAAACTGTTAAACTATGATTGGTTGATTATCATAAGACATGGTGACTGTTCACATATAAAAAAATAATCATCCTGCATATATTCAACAAATTCTTTGCCATCCAATATTTTTCAAACAGCATAACTAACAAAATGGCTAGAAGACAATCTCATGAACAAAATGCAAAACATACTGGGATGCCTCCTCTCAATCCATTATGAAACTCCGAATTAGAATGAATGAGGTGGATCGATGAGTATGGTTTATTTAATGAAATTCTCTGGTCAATCAGAGGACAGCACTGCTACATCTAATATTGTGGCTATGGAGAGTTATTTTTGGTTCCGCGTTCTTAAAACATTCATGAATTAAAAAGTGATAGACATTTGGTAAAAAAAACTAAAAACAGTGCAAAACAAAACATGGAGGCATTTGGTGCAAAACTAGATTAATGAGACCATCTCATGAGGAGGGAAAGAAGTGACTCGACCACGGTCTGGCTCAGTGTGTGCGACAAGGTTAGCTACAAATAAGTAGAACGTTTCCACAGTTTGGCAATGTTTAGGCTTTTACTTCCTGATGTTGAATGGTGACATCAGAATTTGTCATCCTGTAGTATGCTGAATTATTATCTAAAAACAACATATAAATTACTTGATTTTGTCTAATGAATGTTATGAAAATGTGATATCGTAACTAGTATCAATTACAACAAACAGAAGCCAAACACATTTACAAGAGGTATTGTTCCAGATATTATTAAAATTGCAATCTCCAAACATTTCAGTCATACATTACTTTACAAATGGAACCCTATAGCCATATATATCTTAACCAGTGTTATAACCTTTTGGAAAATCTCAGATGTTCAGAAGATCTAGATCAGTGTCACTGCCCCACTAAGTCTCTTCAAAGATCCCTAGGAACCCGCAAAATAAAATCCAAACGCCCAAAAAATAAAATTGTAAATTGGACCACCTCACTATACAAAGGATTTTATTGGGGGAACTCTGCAGTGCTTCAAAGGCCCCAAGCACTAATCAAGATCACAACCAACTAACCATCTAGAGAGTTCCATCAAAACTATAATCTCTGCTTCCACGAGTAGAAGAAGAATCAGTGAGGAAATAGAACTGATATGAAGTGTGTAACAAAACATGGACATGTTTCCCTGTGTCTCTTCAATTTCTAAAATCTATCTGCAGCTTCTATCTTAGAATGTGTCCCAATCTATATCGATATAGATTGGGTTACTGATATTATTTATAAAGGCAGCAATACCTCTTGTACAATGGAAAACATTCAAACTAAATCATTCTTTGTTAGACCGCTGGCCGATGGAACCACAAATGTACTGTATTCAAATGACACATTACATTATTTTGAAGTGACGGAATAAAGATTAGTAAAAGAACAAATACATATAGTTCACAAAACAATACGTTTGTCACAAAGAAAAATATTCAACAATATTTGTCCAGTCAATCTTTAAAATAATTGAAGGGAATGTGTAAAATGTTGCATGCAAACAGCACATCATCGCACAGAGGTGATATCAAACAGCAAGAGCACATGGGCCACTACAGACTTCAGAGACATGGACAACAATCCTCTTTCTTCTTAGTAGCAGGTTCTGTTCCGTCAGGGACTTAGACAATGTACATAGACGGTGGCCTGCACCTTTAAATAGTAGTACTTGGATAATAAGTCTTGTAAAGGCCAAAACTGTGCACGCTTTTTAGGTGGGGATCCAAAACTGTTGCTATACTGCTGTAAAGTTACTTGGCGGAGAAATGTCCAAATAAGTTGATAGAAGTCCCATTTAACTATAAAGATAACTTTCTAGGGGAGGTCAAAGTAAGCATGCATGTTACTAACTAAGAAAAAACACCTACTTTCAACGTATTTTATGATTCATATAATGTGATGTTAGTAAAAATCTATTTTTTATAGAGACTGGGCTTTTTTCATAAATATCAGCCTATTTTTCACCTCACTGTACACAGGATTTTAATCACTTTGGTCATGACATATACAATAAGCGTGTGTGGATGGGGAAGGCTGGGCACTGCTGCCTCCACAACCATTTTCTTCCAGGATAAAGAGGAAGAAAATGAAAGGATGTATTTTGGAGAACTCTGCATTGAAAACATTGTAATCCAAGTTGATGTCACTAAAAAGCAAACACAGTTTATAGCGGTTACACAGAGACTCTTCCTCTCACTCCTTGCTCTCCAAACCCACTTCCACCTCGTCGTCGGCCAGTAGATTGTCTGGTGCTCCCCCCTCCCCTTGGAACAGCTCCTCCATCAGGGCTTCTCCTGCTGAACCGGCCCGGGACGCCCACAGAGCCGCACCCTCCCTCAGCCCCAGTGTGCGCAGCAGCCGGGCGTAGTCCACAAACGCCGCCTCGATCAGCTTATGTGCAGCGAAGTCAAGGAGAAAACAGTCTCGGAGACGATAAAGACCATTAGCCAAACTATGGTTAGTTGCGAGGAGAGTGATGGGAGAGAAGGGTAGGGTCAGAGAGTGTTTGACCTGTGTCTTGTATGTTCTGTCTTTTATGTGTCTATAAAGGCTTCAGTGTGTGTGTGTGTAATTAAACTTTGTAAAGTCCTTCCGAGACGACTGTTGCTGTGATTTAAAGCTATACAAAAAATAAGTGGAATTGAATTGATTTTTTTTCACATGTTCACACAATTGAAATAAATCTTCTGTTGATTTTATTGAAGGAAGTTCTATGATCATTTGTAAGTCTCCTTCAACCAGAGAACAAGGCAATTGTGTTTCTACAAGCTCTGGGACCTATTTATCCAATTTTCTAATTGCTGTGAACATTGATTAAAACATGCGTTGGACAAAATAGATTGTTGTGAAGCGTGAAAAACAGGAAGAGTGGGTTTTCCTCTACCCCCAATATACCCACCTAATGTGCAAGGTAATAAATACTTAATGACCACTTTATTAAATAGCTTATCAGCCAATTACTTGACAGCAGTTGAGGGGAAGAAGAATACGACAAAATAAAAAAGATACTATTTTACAGATATGTTAATAGATTGATAAGACTCAACAAAAGAGAAGTAACATTAGGTTTCATTAAGTCTGTTATTCACTTTCGACTTGAGAGGACATGTTTGTTTAGCCCTCACAAATTTGCCCTTGTCGCCATAATTATTTTCCTGATGAATTTCCAATGGTTGTTTTCAAGGTCCAGCATCAGTCAATATTTCATTTGTATGTAATTTATAGTGACTCAAGTCCATGTTGCTGTGAGAACTGTTTCACTGAAATATACTTCTGATAAATCTTACAGGACAAGCTCTGCCCAGCGCTGTCTGCCGATATTTATCACTGGTGGAAATGAGCCAAACCTGAACAAACCAGGGGTCAAGTCTTGTATTCACTGAAGGCAATACGTATACGTCAAGATTAAATATGGTTTTAGAGGGAACACTACAATGTGGCAGATAAGAGCAAACATTTGTGGTAAAGAATAAAGACAGAAAATATGGGTTGCATGAGGATAAAAAGTAGATTTAAGGTTGAGATGCCAAACTGAGGGAAACATTTCAAATTCCTCATTATAGATATAGTATTTTATATAGTATCAGGCATGATGCGACTTTACAAAACTAAGCATTACGAATACATGCTCTCAGCACTGGCTTCTTGTGGCTTAGAGAATAGACTTACTGTAGGAGCTCTGCTTGTGTAGTCTCTCCATGGCCTCGCACCAAAATTCACATGTTAGTGCCGCCAACTTGGAATATGAGGAGCACAGGGACTGGCCTTCTGCTGGAGCCAAGAGTCAGGATTAAACATATGGCGTCTGCGTTTTAGATTTATCCGGCAACACTCTGGAATCGTCTTCTTGAAAATATGGTTCTTCTGACAATGTTCAAATCACACAGTTGGATTTATCTGTGCATACAACTGAAAGATTTGAGCTATTCTTATTTGAAAATGAATTATCAAATTTTTGTGAATAATTAGGATTTTACTTTACAATGCTCTTGTTTTGTAAAGCCAAATTACCCCATGTAGAAATTGTGCTCTATAAATACACTTGCCTTGTGTGTATGGTTATAAAAGTTCCTCTCATCATAAACTAATTTTCACATCTGAATCTATGCTTTACCTTTGTCAAGATGGATAAAGATTGACGGATGAATTGCTTGACCTTTGATTTTGCTCCATCAGATTTAGTTTAACCTTTTACATTCAGGCTGGATGGCTCTTGCGCTTTTCTCGAGATGAAAATGTTCGAATCTTAAGAGTGTCATTAGTGTTAAATTGAGTGATCAGCCCCATTGTGTAAAAGCTTTCTGGTGTTCAGCTCCTACCGTTAGAAGGATGAAGTTAGTTATTGGTGTTCCCCTGAGGCAGTAATGGCATGTTGGAAAAAAAAAGGATATTGGTGGTGTCGTTGGCCTCCATCACACCTGACTTCAGACAGGCCTCGATGAAGAGCGCTGCCCGATCGAACTGCCGCATACTGCCCCACACAGGAACAGAGGGAGAGAGAGAGTGAGGAAAGGTCTATTGAATTAAACTATTCGCTCTGCAGCCTTGACGTGTGTGCAGCGAAGGCATACGTCAGCCTCGAGTTCCTCCATTACTGTGCTAAGGCTTTGTCTGCGAGAGAAATAATGGTGGATCAATACTGAACTAAGGTCAAAAGCTAAAGACTTCGCAGTTACAGTCTAAATTGCAATATAATTAACCAGTGTTTATCTTGATTTTTCTTGGTTTTATTTTGACAGTTCAAAAAGTAAACTATTGATAATCTACTTTTGCCTTAAATCAGCTGCACTCACTTCCATTAAAATAATATCATGAGACACTTTTTATTCAAAATGTGAAAATTACAGGCTGCAAACACAGACAAGTAATTATACGGAACTTAATTTGACCTGAGAGTTAAAGAAAGGCGGAGACAGGAGCTTTTAGACAGAAAGAGCAAGGTTAAATTGGCAAGATTCTTTCAACAATATTGTAAATAGTTTGAAAATAAACCCCATCTACCAGCATTCAGACACCAGACTTACTGCTCATTTGTCATTTTAGCTCTTAAACAATAAATGGGTATAATAACACTGGCTATTAGTGAGAGTTAAAGCATGTTGGCCTCACCTGAGGAGCATCTCCCCCACTCTGTCGAAGCAGCCGAGGGACAGCAGCACCAGGATGGCCTTGGACTTGTGATTGACCTGCGGAGAGCACAGGTGTTCTGCCCAGCGCTTCAGGACGTCCGAGCTCTCACACGGGTTCAGGCGCACCTGTCAAACAAAATATATTATCTACAAATATTTTTTAAGTTGGGTGCACCAGATTTAACAATCCTCACAATAAATAAAGAATGTAATTTTAGCTGTGTTAGCGTATTGCATCTATATTTGAATCCGATTGAACCTCAAAGAGACCACTGCATTTTCACTGCCTTTCATGATTCAAGTTATGCCATTTGATACTAAAAATATTCCAAGTGTCCTGGTCTACGTAAGCGTGGTGTAAATATTGCACTGCATCTAATGTTTCTTGTTGATGGATGCGTCACGCTGAGTTACCTTTGCCAGCCAAGCCGCGCGGTTCCACTCCCCGTAGGTCTGGAGGTACCGACACGCATCTGCCGCCTTGTCAATCAAACACAGCAGCTGGACCCCCTCTGGGAAACACAAAAATAGGTCTGCATGGCTCTTTGGAAATGTTTAGTGTTGGTTTTGGCAGTAAAAGTGCACATTTAAACCATTAATAATAGTTTATGAAAAGTTTTTAGAATTATGCATGTAGCTGTCTTCCTCTTCAAATGTGAGCTATTGAATACGGCAGGATCTTGAAGATATATAATGTGATATATAATGTGTGAAACGCTTGCCTGCAAGTTTGCCATTTGCGATCATATTGGTGGCCACTAGTTTGATGGTGGACTGGGAGGGCCCTGAGGAGGTGATGGTCGTGACCAGACAGGCTTTGAGGGAATCACAGTAGTAGCTTGGGTTGTCTGCACTGGTCTCCAGCAGCAACTGCACTGCCCTGTCCGTCTGCGACAAAAGATGGCAGCAAAACACAATTTTTTTTTTTTATTTAAAATATATATTTGATTTAGCTAGTTTTGAAACACACATTTATGATACAAATAAAAAATTAGGAATACATAAAACAGCTCTCAAGAACAGGTCTTTACAGTGGGTGGACTTGGCATGATAACAGAAATAATAATAATATAGTAGAAAAAACAAACCAGAAGAACAATGTGCACTAAAGGAAAGGTTCCTATTAAAGCTGGGGTACCAGACTTTTAAACCTCAAAAAGCACTTTGCTCTCAAATGTTTGGCAGACATTTTTTACTTACATAATTTTAGCTTCTAAGACTGCTCAGATCATTTTTTTGTAACCACCGCGTTAAACAAGGGACCACAGTATACACAATGTTATACACTATAAATTCTTACAGTTTCACAGCTTCTACCCCACAACAAAAAGGTGATCGACAGACCAGGAGCAGCCGGCAGTGAGGAGCCAGGCAACCACAGAGATACAGCAGACAATGCCGAGTGTCCGGGGGAAATTATGCTGATTATCTCCCCTTTTCATCAGCGCCAGAGACGGCGGTCGGTAGCTCATTGCGGGTCAGAGGTTTCAGCTTAGGAGGCATGTTCTTTCATCAGAGAGAGTCCTGATTGCACTGAGTGATAAGAGCGAGCGGGAGTGGGGATGTTAAAAGTGCTGGAGGTGTCTGAAATCCTGAACAGATGAGGCACCAGGGACAAAGGAAAAGGCACTTACTCTCAGTCGCATCATTAGCCCGGGCAGAACACATATATCCTTAAGAGGCTGTTTAGACATACTGGCCCACAGTTTGTGCAGAAAATCAACCAATTGTGTTACATCGCAAAGGTAATTTGAACAAAAACATGTGGGTGTTCAATAAAAGAAGACCTTGAATTCTGTGGTAAGCTGCCAAAATGCAGTGAGGGAGACTTGTCTCTCATGTTTATTGGATGAATCTCCAGCAATGGAGAGCGAGAGATCTGGCAGAAACATCCTCATAACACATTTTATATTCAAGAATTTTAAAGGAGAAAAATGGGCCTAAACTCTTCAATTTAAGACAGTCTTCAACACCTATAAAACCAACATACACAAACAGCTGGATCTATAAACTGTCCACTCGTGGGAGCAGATCCCCCTCTCATTGTGGGCCTACCCGAGGTTTCTCACTTTTTCCCCGCTGGGTCTTTGAGTTGTTCCTTGCCGATGCTGGAGGACATTCATGGACATGAATGTCGCTCGCTCGCTAGCTATGGACCAATGGCTCCAATGTGTTAGTCATTATATAGTTTCCTGTGTTCAAACGGCTTGATTCTCGGATCTGTGTTGGCAAATTAACATCTTTTTAAAGTCATCCTGAAACCCTAACCCAGATCAAAAAATGTAAAAACACATTTGATGTTGCAGAGCATGCCCAGTATAATGTAATGCAGAGGGTGCAGTGCCTACCTGTCCCAGCAGGAGGAGCTGGTCGGCACATTTCTTGGTGTGATCATAGCTGGAGCGCTTCACTTCCTGCAGGTGAACTCGATCCAGCTGGAACTTCTGTGAAAAAGAACAAATTACATTATTAATTCAGGGTATGCATATCAGCAATCAATACAAAAATAATAGACACACTGCTTTTTGTGTAATAACATAACTATCTGAGACTATAAATAGATGGGAGAAACTTGCGGGCAAAGACGGCGCAGATGAAAAGGGTTGTTTCAAAAGTAATTTCAAAACCTTTAAAATATTCACAGGGTTTTTATCATCCTTGTGCTGCTGTTTGCTCAATTATTCTTTTCAGATTTTTCATTACATGCTCACGATAAAAGATCATCTCACTTTGTATTGCAACATCAAAACCACAACAGACTTTTTCCCGGGTCCGACAACTCATTTCCATGAAAGAGATGAGAGAACAAAAAGATCCAATAAAACAGGGTGGAAGAAGGCGAAAAAGCCCCTGTGCAGGGATTGTGTCTTTGTAAAGAAAACAAGGCTTTCCTTTATTATGATGAATCCTGGTGTGAGCCGCAGCCCGGACATAAATCCTACAGAGAGGGTCCAATCTAGTTTACTAACTTGGGAGTAGTCGTAATTACGGTCAGGCCACTGCCACTGGAGATGCTTTATGACAACAAGAGACTGACTCATACAGAACTGGGCTCTGAAATGCAGCTATGGGATTACAGCGAGGGCTCAATAACACAGCAGTATTAAAAAAGGCCACATCGCTCAGTTCGTTCATTCGTCTTCCTGATCAGATTTACTGTATGAACTGTTCTTTTTATGAGCCTTAAGTTGGATCCCGTGCTGGGTTTTAGAGTAAAGAGCGAATATGTGACAATGCAGACTCCAAGCCTTATAATAAAATAATAGATATTACAAAAACAGAATAATTCAATACAGAATGAGAAAGAAAACACAAACGTGCACTTGATCACTTTTTTATGGATACATTTTGAACGTGCTTTTGCTCATGCATAGAAAATATACAAAAAATGTATTATTTTATTTGTCCTTTATATAGTATATGAAGCTGGGGAGGTAACATTTCCCAAGCAAAATCCCTGTAGGAGTCAAAGGAGTCAAATGATAAATGACAACAAAGACTGGAAATGTAATGTCACATTCTTTATTTTACTCCCATAAAAATTGAAAAACAAAAGTGAGGAAAGCGTACGATAACACCATATTATAAATTGTGCCAGCATATTCTCTGCACATACATTTGCAATATATGTATATTTAGGTGAGACATTATGCCGCAACAAATGTGACTTTTGGCAAAGGAATGAATCTTTCTGGCAGTGCAGATGGTGAGGTTGAATAGTTCCCTTAATGTTTCACTAGAGGGAAGTCAGGGCCAATGATTCAAAAGCACTCAATGACACAATTACTTATGAATAGAGTGGAGTCTTTTGTTGCCTTTCTACTTTAGTCCACAATTTGTGCAAAATAATCCCCAACAAAACTTGTACAATACTGTACATTCATGTCTGACAGCACCTTTCTGTGAACTAAGTAGACTAGTTTGAGAATAAATCAATCTTCTGCGCTCACATCACAAACAAGCAGAGTGGATAATTAAAGAGAAAAACAAAGCCAGTCATCTCCGAGACAAACTGCTCCAAACACAGCTTAATGCAAAGCCGTGTTTCAAATCTTATCTGGGAATAATGTCAGCAACACAACATTAGATTGATGAGGGCGGTTTAACAAAAGTTTAATCTGAGGACAATACTTCATACACAACTGATTTTCAAAAGTAAAAGCAGATGATAAAAAGAAATGCGACAGATTGCTTTTCAATCATTGGCCCTGAATTTCTCCATCTGTGAGATAATAAAGGATTGATTGATTGTGTGGATATTGGACGAGAAGGATGGTATGACAACGTAAAAGTAATAGAAAGACACTATTTGGAATTTTATTTCGATGTTTTATCATAACAGTTTCCACTTGAACTGTGCTGTGGCAGTCTCCTTCACAGATCTCCCTTGTATAAGTATCTAGATACTACTTGTGGATTAAAAGTCATAATTTATAAATTGTATTCTCATATATTGAGACAGTAAATGTAGCTTTGAGAGTCGAGATGGAGGTTAAAAAACTCCAAATCCACTTATGGACAGTGTTTGGGACACTGTGATCTATTCCTCTAAAAATCCAGATACATTTTGTCCATAGGACACAATTAACACCACATAACACTTTTCTCCATGAATTGTTGCACTTTGTGTCATTTTTTGCCTCTTCACGCCGCTAAGAAAAGCACCATTAAAACATGCACCAATACCATCACTGACTTTAAAACTTTTTTGTGAATTAGTTACAGACTGTTGATGTATTTCATTTTGTTTGTTGTCCTGGACCTGTTTGGCCTTCTTTTTTATGAAATAAAACATTTATACATTTATATATTTTAAAAGCTATATGTCAATAATAAACATTTTTTATGAAAACTATTTAGCTTTGAAATTCTCAGGAACTTAGGCATGTAGGAATACACAGTTTCACTCGCAGAGAGCCTTAGTCTTACGTTTCAAAATTGGTATTGCGTATTTTATTTATAACTTAGAATAAAAAATGGGCAACCATTATCTCGATTACTAGCACTCTGGGCCAAAGCTTACAAAAACAGCATTGCATTCAATGCATTAAGTGCGATGGGATAGGGGTGATGAATAAACAAGACCATAATAAGTGTAAGAGTACAGTCTATTGTGTGGTAAGAGCGGGTTGTTGACATTGTGGCTGACAGTCTGTGGCTCTGACTCTCCTCCTGTGGTTTCTTACTGAGGATTTCATAGTTTGTTTTCTGTGTACAGACCCAGTGAACTGTATTTTTTGACTGTTTTTTGTTGCACTGACCTGAAAATAGGAGCTCTCGCAGAGGACATCATTGCAGATATCCAGGTGAATCTGAGGGGAAGGTTGAGCCTCTTCAGTTTGGTTTTCTCCTGACGACAACCCGAGCTGCCGGGCCTGAGCAAACGACTGCAGGTAATGGGACGCCACAGTCCAGAAGTGCAGGTCGGACTCATCGCCAAACAGTCTGAAAGATGGAACAGCTTTAATGCAACCATGATCAGACCTTTCAATGCTCCACTGGTCCAAACAGGTTAAAAGCATTTCACATAAGACATAGCCTCAGACGATATCTACAATCAACTTGTAGATTTAAACCAACTTCAAACAATCCCAAGACAAAAAGAGGTCCAGACTATAAATGGTTTCAGTAATTTCAGACTGCGTGGTTCCACTTTCCCAGGAGTGAAACACAGCCCCCGGGGAGTTGACCTCATATTTTAAAAACACATCTGAAATCCTGGTTTGTAGCCATAGTTTGTATTCAATTCAATTGTCTGTCTGAATATTTTTTGTATTAACTTGCACCTTGTCGTAGTTTGGATTAAATTTGGGTCTTTTATGTAGACCATTTTCAATCGGTTCATTAATGTACACGTCTTGAACTACAAGACGCATTGTTCGAGCATGTGCACCAATGACCAGCTCAGTTCCTTCTTCAGATTTTTGTTTGATGGCTTCCATCCCTCAAGTCTGGGCTACAACATAGCTGTTGCTAGGATACCTGATCATGTGGACAACGGCCTGAATCCCTGTGCTCAAAATACATCAGTGATTAGCATGATTAGCCATGATTAGCCATGATTAGCCATTAGCCATGATTAGTGATTAGCCATTTGTCCAATAAATATAAAAAATAAATACATTTGCTCGGGGTGCCTAACTTTATAACCCCAAAAAGGTCATGTAATATTTGAACTTGTCCCTTGCTCTATAACAGTTTAGCTCTATCACTAGTTTTAACATGCATGTATCATCTTTAGATCAGCTTTTTCAGACAGAAAAGTGAAAAACATAGGACCACCCTTAATCAGCTCTCAACTCAAAGCCTAAAATAGTGACTCACTGGGCTCTTTCTTGCAAGCATCTAACAGATAACATGTTTTCTACCATGAAGACAGCATGGTTATGTTTACAAGCCTTTAATGTTATATATGAGACAAAACAGTTAGGGCCCCCAGCCTTACCTTCCATCCATCAGGGCAACTACCCTATACCAAATCAAGTTTAAGGAATGACTGAACTTGAAATAGATAGAACGTAGCATGTGTCAATTAAACAGTTAGGAGCGAAAATAGTTTGACATTTCAGGTAAAGTGTGTTTTTAATAAAATGCAGACACAGGGACGGTTCTGCATATCAAGTGAAAGGGGCTGCTCCAGATTTCAAATTTATGCTCAGGGGAGATGAGAAGTGGGGCACAGATCAGAGCCATTGACACAAGCTCACAGGCGTCACGTCTTTGGAGAAGACTCGCATCACAACTGTAATTACAGCCAAGATGCAGCCAATTATTTTGTCAGGAAATGTAACTATTTAGACAGGAGCGCTTAAAAATACTCCTCAGATGACTTTTGGATTTCATATTCATAATGCACCTGTTGCAACTTGGAGGCAAAAGAACAGAACGAAACAGATCAAAACAGAACTAATGTGATTTTAGTTTCCAAATATCATGTAAATGTCATACTAATTAGAACATAATTGACCAAGCTAGTATCTGCCATTAAACTTGTCTGCTAGTTTTTATGACGGTAACTTTCGAAACAACACAAAGAACAGGCATATGAGGTTATTTTATTATGACAAAGAGTGTAAAGAAGCTTGTACTGCTTAAAGTGATAGTCTGTAACTCTAAATGAATTACAAATTTTAGGAAATGTGTTAAATTGACCTCCTGGCCTTAAATGTTGATATAAAATAAGTCATTTTATTAATTCTAATATTACGGGCAAGTCCCGCTTTCCCTGCTCTTAGCTATAGTTCAGAATCCACGGTGCCGTCGAGGTTAACCAATCGAGTCATGCCAAGAGCTGTCAATCATCGGCGCTGATGCTCGCAGCTGCGCGCATGCTCAGTTGTTTGTTTTTGCGGAGCCTCCGAATCAAGCCTCTATTAGGCTCTGGAACTACATGAAAACTGAACAAAGAATTCTGAACATCCGCGCTGAGGTACTTATGTATATACTGAACCTATATCCATAATCAGATCCTCTGCAGATGTGTCCTATAATGTGCAATTCATAATAATAGCACTTCCTGGTTTGCCGCGATCGCTTTTTGTGTGCATAAAAACATTATTTTTTAAATTAAAACGTTCACAAATAATTCTGAAAACCTCCGTGCATGTGTATTAATAATGTATGTGTATAATGTGTTCTCTGATTAACATTTCAAAGTGTTACAGAAACGTAGGTGTAGACCAATCAGAAAGGAAGGGGGAGGGAGCTTGCGTCGTTTTTTTCAAATCAAGTACCTCTCTGTCTCTCTTTCTGACAAACTCCAGACAATCACTTTAATCAAAACAAATAATAATCAAATTACAATAGTAGTTTATAATAAAGCAATTATCTTATTTTGAGTAAAGTACCCCTTCCGTTATGTACACAAATCAATTATTTAGACTACGTAGTGAATTTTTTTTATTAGATTTTGTTCTTTACATGCTGAGGTTGAATGTTACTGTGGATCATTTCTGGTAAAGGAAGGACCTACGCGAGTGGCGTATGAGCAGACGATGCACATGCCCTGATTGATTGACAGCATAAGTGAAATACAGTGAAATCTGTTGGGACATAAAAACATAATAGCTTGTTGAGGTTTGACGTACCGGGACACCAGGAGACAGCGCTGCAACAGGCTCAGCTCGGGGTCCTGCAGCACACTCTTCATGTCACTGTGCAGCCAATCAGAGGACAGCGTCACTCACAGCAAGAGACACATCATCACCTCCTGGAGAACTATTCTATTTTTATCAAAGTCAACAAACCCTTCACATCCTATTTCCTCAATACAAAGGTGAGAAAATACTCTTGCACATAATATGAACATATATATAATGAACAAATATTGGGTAAGTAAGTAATCATTATGTTGCATTACACAGACCAGGGTTTACCAACAGAGCTGTCACTATTTTCATAAGAAAATGTTGATAGCAATGTTGTTTTCAAGTGGGTAAGAAAAGTTTTTGTTTAGTTGACCAATTGATCGACCAGGTATGTTTTTAGTCGACGATGCATTTTGGGCAAAAACTGTCCTACTTTACAGGTATAATGTGCGCTATTTGTGTTAATTTGGACTCTTAACCATGATCATGATTTTGAGAATATTTATATTAGCATTTCATGTTTAGTGAAAAATTACTTTCCGTTAGATTTAAATTCAACATGGAACAGTCTAATTGAAGGCATGTAGTTGTAAATGAAAATATTTTTGTTTTGAAAAGGCAGAAGACATTTGATGGAGAGCATGTGTTGTATCGATTTGTGCCATATTAGAGAAATACAAAGTCCAGCGATTTTGATTGTAGGACTGAAATTCAATCAATTCATATGATCAGCTTTGCTCTTTTAACTCAATAAAAGAAAATAAAGAAATCCACTTGTATTAAACATGTTTGTCTCTGTGATAAATGGTAAACAGTGAAACAATAACTTTAAAAGCAATAAAAACATTACAGACACAAAAAATGCTTACTTTGATAGAGAGTTCAGCTGCTCCTGTATGAGTCCTTTTATCTCGTTTTTCTCATTGTAGTCCCTGAATAAAAGAATAAAACTCAAATGAACCCTCTGACCTGATTACAACAATGCACTGAAAACCTGCTTGTTAAGACCGTCTGTGATTTATACTGTATATACAAAGCTTCGTTCACACCTTATGCCGAGGTCAGATAACACTATGAGCTTGTGATGAGGGCTCAATTCAACAACTTTATTACTGCCTCTACACTTGCTTACACAGGCAAATTGGGCATGATTTTCATTTCAAAGTGATAAATGGTTCGCTGGGGCGGTCGGCACTATCTCAATAATAGCCACTGGGTTACAAAAGCCTTGACTAAACACTCTAATGATGGGAAATACTGGCATTGAGGGACTTACACTTGAGTAATGTCCATGGTGAAGGTGCCGGACCAGGGCTGAAGGAGCAGGAAGGCTTTGAGAGTGAGGGCAGCCCGAGGAAGCAGCAGGTACGGGCACCACACGGGATCTGCCAAACCGTCAAGCAAGACATATTTAGAATAAGTATACTTTTGGGGTATATTTATCAATCCAGGTGATAAATAGTGGATGCAAAGTAACATAGTGTGTGCAATTATGTTTAGTTTAGTTCCATTTGAACGTGGATCACAAATCTTAAGTGAAGGGGCCCTATTTACTTCTGCACACACACAAAAAAATACCCCTTTTTTGTATTTTTCCTTGAATTATTTATACATTTTTAAAAAGAAAATGATGGGACACCCCCAAACACCAAACCAAAAAAACAACCGAAAAGACCACATGAAATATATATACAATCTGTATGAAAAAAACTAAGACTCAAAGACAGAAAGTTTACGGTGTTTTAGCTTAAATTAGGTAAGGTATTTATCAACAAAAATACATTTGAAATAGTCCCTCGCCTTGGCATAACTACGACCAGTTGCTGGAAGAGAATAGTTAAACCAATCTGAGCAATCGGGAAGCTGCAGAGGCGAGTGTGGGAAAGTCTAATCAGTGCTCGTCTTCAAAAAGTTTCACTCTCATGTCCCAGTTTGAAAAGTAACTAATATTCACTTTATTGAGCTTTGGAGCTGTCCATGGTGCTGGATAAACATCATATCAACAAAAGTTATATGTGTGAGTGATAAGAATGAATATAACTTAATAATAAGATGCTTTTACACCAAGGAAGCAGTTGTATATTTCACTAATGTTTATGTAGGAGGGCAAAACAACGTATTTTTGCCACATCAACCATGGGCAACGTGCATGGACACATAATGCCTACTATTTTTGTCTGTATCACTATTCATGGGTTTCTGGCATAACAATTCTTTCTGATTTGAAGGCTTTTGTCTGAACTTCCCAATGGAATTAAATGAAGGACTGTTGCTTGAATAGTGTAATCACATGACAACACATTCTGACATACCTGAAAAAAAAAAAAGGTCCAGTAAGGTAGAAGGATGAATTCAAGACATTATTTTCATTGTGTAGCTACACGTGTATCCAGTTAAATGTGGGCCTCACCAGTCAGGTCCTGCTCGTCCATTCGATAACTGGCTGACTTCATGGCCATCTCCAAAACCCGAATACAGCCGTCATCTGAGGCCAGAACCACTTTATCTGAGGTGCACCAGTCGATGTCCAGAATCCGGTAGTTTACGTTCCGCCCTATTCTCATGCTGCTCACCATCTGGACCTGCAGGGCACCAAGGACGAACAACGGAATATTAGATTACATTTATACCATAGTTACTTACACTAGTGTCAGTTTTAAAGAATAAGGACGGATATGGACGGAAAACTCATAAATGTTCCTCATAGAAATAAAATAAATAATAATATAAAAAAATTTACAGATTTTGTCCCGTTTTATATTTTGGGTAACATTGAGTAGAATGTCTTAATAATCTCATCACACGATATACACTTATTATAGGCTGTGTTGGCAGAGACATACTTCACCTTAAACAGTGGTATACTTCACATACTTCATATTTGGTCTCTGGATATTCACAGGTGGATGTTGTAGCCAGTTGTCAGCTGATGACTGGAGCGGATCAGAGCGTTTCCTCCCCTGCTCATACCTTTCCCTCTTGCCGCTTCTGTGCTAAAGCCGTTGCACCATCCCTCAGCAGACTCGTACATCTGTTGTCTAGTTTCAACATTATAGCGTGAAGCAACATTTGACTGTCACTCCTGAAAGAATCTCCACTGACATGATGCAAGTGCTCCATAGGTGTAGCCACTGAAGCTGAATGTGCAAAAATGCCTTAAATGTCTCATCTATATCCAACTTAATCTCAACCAAATTCATAATTTCACTGATGCAGCAAATTGTCTCATATGGACCATGCTGGCCCCCTACTGTCGCACCCTGCAGGATACTTCAGCAGCAGACTGACCCACCCTTGCTGTGAGAAGGAGAGATTTCACAAGTCTTTCCTTCCTGCAGCTGTCAGACTGTACAATGAGAATTGCTGACCCTGTGTATTCATACCTTTACATTCAAGTAACACTTTATCGGATATTAATCTTGATGATTCATAGTACTTTGAATTGCCTTGTGTATGAATTGTGCTATATAAATAAACTTGCCTTGCCTTGCCTACTAGTCTCATCATATCTACAGATGATTCCATATAGAAGAATCATTCCAACAGTTTAAAAGACACAATCACAAACATAATTCAAAGCCAACATACTTAAATTCATACACTCATCATTAACCTGTAGATGCTCTCAAGAGATACACAAAGAGAAACTGAATGTGTTATCTGCATGTGTCCTGTGGGGGTGTAGAATTACCTCTTTAGTGTCCCAGACCTCTGCTCCGTCGGTGTACATGACCAGCAGCTTTTGGTTGCCTTTCCCTGGAGCAAAACGGATCTTTTTCACCCATCCTCTGTGTGTTGGTATTCCCCTAAAAGTACATTTATAAAAATATCATACTTACATACCTTATACGTTGATTCTGCTGAAACTAAAGGATAAACTAAATATTGAAAAGCCTTGTATGATTACTATAGCGCGTAAAAACACCAGGACCATAGACTGCAACAAGGACATGAATCTAAACATGTTTGTAGTCCTGAGATCTCCGAGTTAATTGAAACTTTCTCCATCCCTTAATAAGAGATTCTTTATTCATCCCACAGTTACAGGACAGTAGGAATGAGGAGCACACAGCACAAGATAAGTGAACAATAACTGAAATAGAATAAAAACTTTAGCACAATAAAGAAGCAAGAATTAAAAATGAAATCTCAATAGATTAATACCTATTCATACCTATTAACTTATGTTGAAAGGAAATAATAACCATATGTAACAGCGTATGCAGAGTAGTTTAAAGCTATAATAGTAAAACTATATTCCACCTGGATAAACGAGCTTTGAGATCCCAGAAGTTGAGATTGCCATCTACATCTCCGAGCACCAGAGTGTCTCCTTTCCATGCGATGCAGGCGATGCTCCCCATACTCCCCTGAACAGAGGAACAGTGGTGTGGGAGAATTACAATGGATCCAATAAGCTCATGTGTGCTGCTTACACAATGTCTGATCAACATGACACAAACACAAAGCCTTTTTCACTCACTGTTCAAATGTTTGTATTACATTCAGAGTTAGACTGCTGTAAAATGAAAATCATTCAAACAGAACAGAAAATGTCAGTTGGAAAACACATTACAATCTCTGGAGGAGAGGGTTATTTGTACATTATTCACAATAAAACTCAATCTCCAACCAAGGTGGAAAAATGTACATTATGGTTTACATTGTTCCATACATTTATTCATGATTGTATCTATATTACAATATGAGGTTTTGTATTGTGACCCAATCCCAGTCACAGAAAACATGCACAGATTGAACCCACCATGTAAATAATCATAAACAATGTAACACAAAATGCTTTACACTTCTTCTGCTCATCACCAGCTACTTGGAGAGGAGCAAAATGTCACACCCTTAGCATTCACTCCATAGATTGTAGGAGTGGTGTGGACTAACGTCACCCATAGTGTTTGTATTATTGGAGAATCTGGAGGTAGCAACGACCCGGCAACCAAAGAGCCAATCATGGGCTGCACTGGTCCAGCTTGTGCGACTTTCTAGTTAAAACCAACTTCAGGGACAGAAGGCTCCAGATTGGTCAGTTATTGGGGACATATCTAGATTTACATGTTCAAAGACAAAATTAAACAGATTTCCACCATTTCTTTTATTGTTATAGAGCAAACAAATCATGATTTGTCCAAAAAAGCACAGAAACATTTCAGCAAAAAAATAATAATAATCACTGGACACTTTTTATGTTGAACTATATTCAGCAACTGATACAAATTCAGGTGGTTCTATTTGACTTTGATGCAGATGCAAGATTAGACTTGTGTGTGTGGATTTTAAATTGGTATCGCTGCCCATAAGCCATAATGCAATATCTGAATGGACCTGGACTCGGAATCTGCCAATGTTTGACAAAGAAACACGATACAAATCCAGATAGAATTTCACTATTATCCCACTGAGAGCTCCCAGCATGAAGGGAAGTAGGGAAACTCTCTTGCACAAAAAGGAGCAGTTCAAAGCAGTGCTAACATTGTGAATAGTACAGTGCTTTTAAATGTGGAATGATTATTATAAGCTCAATAGTAGGGTAAAAAACACTCATAATCCATGTTAGAATGGTTAAAGCGACAGAGTGTAACTTTGGGTGGTGGTACATCAATTCTGTAGAAAGTTAGTCATTAACTAATCCATGAAATCCATGAAAACAAACAAAAGGCCCTTTTAAGGACAATGACAAGTCAGGTTTGTGGTGATACAATTCAGCTCTCAGTAAAGACAATCTTTTTTTCAGAGCTAAAAATTAATGAATGTAAGGAAATGCTGATTGCCTACAGAACTATATAGTGGGGGCTTTCCATAATGCATACAATCTGATCCTGAACAAGTTTTGTCGATAAAAGTTCTTGTGCCAAATGCAGGCTAAAGGAAGCACATCCAATGCGGTGAGAATACTAAATAGCACAGCTTAAAAAAAGTAGCAATATAAATGTATAGGGTAATGTTTGTACTCACATCGGGAGGTATTCGTGCTCCATCTTTGACAGTGTTTCCCTCGACAGTGATGTGGTAAACTTGTCCGTCTGTGTCGGTGAACACAAAGTGCTCTCGGGCGGAAATGGCCTGACTTGTCTCAGACTTACTCTCTGCGTCCTGGAGCAGGCTGCACAAGGTAATTACCACAAAAACAAGAAAATCGGGTTTAGATAGAGCAGAGGCAATTAAGGCAATCCAAACATGACCAGCACAACTAGAGCTAGCAGTAGGCCAACAATAAAAACATAATTTATTTTGTTATTGAAAAAAGAGAAAGGTGGCTAGAAGGCACTAACCATTCTGCTGTTTGTGCTTAAATAACTTTGAACTGCACAACAGCCTGGAAATGCATTGTCATGGATTTAGGGACTAATCACAGACCGGTGAGGGACAGGAAGGCTATGATAACGGCAGTAATCGTTCAGTATTATTGTGTAAACATCAATCAATCAAACTACACATTTTTTTGCTTCTTCCTTTCGTAACAAATTGTTGACGCTCCATAAATCATCGGGTAGAATTGATACGATTAGCTTTGAGCTACAGGCAGATACATGACAGACATTTGTATCTCCCAATAAATGGCCATAGACTATCTAAAGCTACACCTCTCCTACGAGAAAATGAATGGATAGTTCCCAGACAAAAATTAACTTGTGGTATTTGTCTGGTGTTAGCAGTGCTAGCCATCTGCAGATTTTAGACACTGTTTCTTGGAGCTTAAATGATTGGAAAGCAGTGAATTCATTACGCTGACCTGATGACTGAGGACTCCACACTGCTCTGCTCTGCATCGGATACCGTTTGTCGTGCCATGGCCTCTCTGGCTGCCATCTGCTTCTTCTTCAAGCTTTTCAGGTTATGTGACGGAGACCACTCCTGTTAAAGATTAAAACAAAGCTTCAATAATGAAGGATCTCACCAATCTAAAAAATGGCATAATAGATGTCTGAGCAAACATAAACATAACCCTTTTACAAACTCTGCATGTTAACATTTCTACAACGAAGCTGGGGCAACTAGTAAGAAAGTGTTCACAATAACTGATTGAACAAGTCTCCCTGTAAACCTAATGTTTTCAAATAGCGATAGCCTGAGAGTTTTAGTGTATATGTTGTTTGTAGAGAACAATCAGAAAGAACACTCATATTCAACGAGCCATATGTTCATGACCAACTTCAGATAAGAATAGATAAAACGTGGAATGGAAGCCAGAGGCCGGAGGTCGATGATCGACTTTGTTGTCGTATCATCTGACCTTCGACCGCGTGTCTCGGACACTCGGGTAAAGAGAGGGGCGGAGCTGTCAACCGATCATCACCTGGTCGTGAGTTGGATCCGCTGGCAGGGGAAGAAGCCGGTCAGACCGGGCAGACCCAAGCGTATAGTGAGGGTCTGCTGGGAACGTCTCGCTGAGCCCCCTGTCAGACGGACTTTCAACTCACACCTCCGGGAGAGTTTCTCCCAGGTCCCGGCGGAGGAGGGGGACATGGAGTCCGAGTGGACCATGTTCTCTGCCTCAATCGCCGATGCGGCGGCTCGTAGCTGTGGTCGCAAGGTCTCTGGTGATGGTCCCGGCGGCAACCCCCGAACCCGGTGGTGGACACCGGCAGTAAGGGATGCTGTCAGGCTGAAGAAGGAGTCCTATCGAGCCATGATGGTTCGGGGGACTCCTGAGGCAGCTGTCCAGTACCGGCAGGCCAAGCGTGCCGCGGCCCGGGCTGTTGCAGAGGCAAAAACCCGGGACTGGGAGGAGTTCGGAGAGTCCATGGAGCATGACTATCGGTCGGCCTCGAAGAGATTCTGGCAAACCATCCAGCGCCTCAGGAGGGGGAAGCAGTTCTTTGCCAACACCATGTACGGTGCGGGTGGAGAGCTGCTGACCTCGACTGGGGATATTGTCGGGCGGTGGAAGGAATACTTTGAGGTTCTCCTCAATCCCCCCGTCACGTCCTCTGTTTCAGAGGCAGAGGCTGAGGATGTTGGGGCGGATACATCCATCTCCCTGGCTGAGGCCACCAAGGTGGTTGGTAGTGAAGTCAATAATTCCCTTTGACTGACGTATCCAAAATCGATGCAAGAGCGAGACAAGAGATCTTCACGTTTAACATCTGCATTTAATTATCTTTACAATCAGATACCAGAGCGTCAGAGGGCCGCGGGTGGACCCCTTGGTCCGTGGAATGCATTGTGACAATGCTGATTTGTATCAGCTCATCTGTTAACATGAAAAAAGGGCACCAGATGGGTATCCCGCTGTTTTTATGGGTCCGATTGGCGTCGGTAATCCTCATGATTGATGGCGGCTTGTGGCTGACCCCATGGCTCCTTTGAAGCTGTATCTCTCCATTTGGTCAATGGTAAACAGAGTGGACAGGCTTGGCCCTGTCCTAAGTTTAACCTTACAATTACTATCAGCATATAACTCCCCATGCTACCACCAGAGGGGGGCGTAGAAGTCTTAGACAATAGACTTTAAAGCAGCTCTGTTTGTTACAAGTCTCTCCATCTGTGACATGTTAGTGCTATATGAACCAACGCAGGAGCACAGGGACTGTCCCAGAGGCAGTGGCTGAGGATGTTGAGGCGGACACTTCTATCTCCCTGGCTGAGGTCACCAAGGTGGTTGGCAGCCTCCATGGTGGCAAGGCGCCGGGTGTGGATGAGATCCGTCCTGACTATCTTAAGTCTCTGGATGTTGTAGGACTGTCTTTGCTGACACGTCTCTGCAACATTGCGTGGCAATCGGGGGTGGTGCCAATGGAGTGGCAGACCGGGGTGGTGGTCCCTCTCTACAAGAAGGGGGACTGGAGGGTGTGTTCCAATTATCGTTGGATCACACTCCTCAGCCTCCCCGGTAAGGTCTACTCCAAGGTACTGGAGAGGAGGCTACGGCCAATGGTCGAATCTCGGATTCAGGAGGAGCAGTGTGGTTTTCGTCCCGGCTGTGGAACACTGGACCAGCTCTATACTCTCCATCGGATACTCGAGGATCATGGGAGTTCGCCCAACCTGTCCACATGTACTTTGTGGATTTGGAGAAGGCGTTTGACCGTGTTCCCCGGGGTGTCCTATGGGGGGTTCTCCGGGAGTACGGGGTCCGGGGTCCTCTGCTGAGGGCTGTTCGGTCCCTGTATGACCGGAGCCAGAGCTGTGTTCGCATTGCCGGCAGTAAGTCAGACCTGTTCCCGGTGCATGTTGGCCTCCGCCAGGGCTGCCCTTTGTCACCGGTTCTGTTCACTGTCTTCATGGACAGAATTTCTAGGCGCAGCACGGGGGCTGGAGGAGGTCCGGTTTGGGGACCACAGGATTTCATCTCTGCTGTTTGTCTTGTTGGCTCCAACGAGCCAGGACCTGCAGCATGCACTGGGACGGTTTGCAGCAGAGTGTGAAGTGGCTGGGATGAGAATCAGCTCCAAATCCGAGGCCATGGTGCTCGACCGGAAAAAGATGCCTTGCCCTCTGCAGGTGGGTGGAGTGTTCCTTCCTCAAGTGGAGGAGTTCAAGTATCTCGGGGTCTTGGTCACGAGTGACGGAAGGATGGAGCGTGAGAATGACAGGCGGATCGGTGCAGCGTGCGCAGTGATGCGATCGCTGTATCGGACCGTTGTGGTAAAGAGGGAGCTGAGCCGAAAGGCAAAGCTCTCGATTTACCTTCGTTCCCTCCCTCACCTATGGTCATGAGCTTTGGGTAATGACCGAAAGAACGAGATCGCGGATACAAGCGGTCGAAATGAGCTTCCTCCGCAGAGTGGCTGGGCGCTCCCTTAGAGATAGAGTGAGGAGCTCAGTCACACGGGAGGAGCTCGAAGTAGAGCCGCTGCTTCTCCACGTCGAGAGGAACCAGTTGAGGTGGCTCGGGCATCTTTTCCGGATGCCTCCTGGACGCCTCCCTGGGGAGGGAAGTCTGGGCGTCTCTGCTTAGACTGCTACCCCCGCGACCCGGCAACGGATGAAGCGGGAGAAAAAGGATGGATGGATGGAGTCAATAGTTGTGACACAGACACACAGAGACGCATGCACACACAGACACAGACACACAGAGACGCATGCACACACAGACACACGCACACATACACACACACCCACACACACATGCACAGGATAATAGGCTGCAGGGGTTAATCCCACTGCGAGGCTTGTTGGAACAAGACTAACAAGAGACCAACACATACACACACACACATACATATACTCACACACATACACACACACCCACATGCTCACACACACACACATACATATACTCACACACATACACACACACCCACACACCCTGCCCCGGAGTCCGCAGCGCAGCCAGTTAGCAGGAGAAGCCAAGCGCTCAGGGTCCGTACAGTAAATCCACTGCTACACAAGTGCTCTGCTCTTTTATGTTTTATTGATTTGTGCGTCCGGGCGTTTGTGCCGCGGGACGTTGCTTCACTCTCCGGCCTTTTCCGTCCTCCAATTATAATGGAAGGAGATCAATGGGTTTATAACCGAAAGAATGTAAAAATGAATGAATCTCAGCGACATTACTGCAGTGTGTTTAGTCAGGAGCAGAACGAACAAGAAGATTATTGTAAACCTGTGAATTATTGCAACAAAAGATGAAGCACTTTTCTTTCTTCTCTCAATTTGTGAGATAAAACGATTCACTGTATTTTGAAATCACCCTAAATCTCAACAGTACCCTATTTTTCGCACTATTAGACTCACCGGATTTGAAGGCACATAAATGGAAGCTGGTTTATCTGTAAACAAAGGCACGAACAAGTAAGAATATCATTTATACTTCCATTTTAAAGTGAAACAAAACCACCAGACCATCGGGTAAAACCGGTGGGGGTGGGGGTGTACCCGGAAGGAGAATTACCCAATGCCTTTGTATCCCATTTTCTTTCCTCTTGAAAACATCTTTACAATTTGGTCCAAAAGTGGCTCTTTGTCCAAAGCTACGTTCCAGATGCTGTCGATGCTGAAGGGAGTGTTATTTTTTTGGACCAGTCTAGTTTAGCTTCTGTGGACTTTTGAATGCACTCTTATGTCAAATGAATGGAGCTCAAACTGGATGACGCATTCGCTAATGGGTTTTTTCAAAAACATTTAGCGCCGCAGCCGTTTTGAAACTGCCCATTGACATGACTCCATTTTTTTACCGGTATAAACTCTATAACTTAAATAACTCGACGTGTTTCAGTTGTTACATTTAAACAAACACAACTTGGTTATGAAAATGAAAGAATTATGAAATACAAAACAATCCTACTAGCATTAAAGCTAATACCATGTTCAACTGCGTCACCGATAGCTTAGCTTGAAATCGGTTTTGTAGCATGTCTCTCCATAGCGGCCATTTTGAATTAAAATTAGGCAAATGTAACGGGCATTCTCCGTGAGGCGCCATAAACATGTGTTTGTAGCTTTAGCAAGAGATCCAAGAGATATTTGTAGATTTGGCTGGGAACTGTTGGGGCAAACGATTGTTGTTTGACCCGGACTCTTCAAGTGGACGGACTTGTGCTTCAGTGTTTTTTTTTTTTTTACAAACAAGTGTCAATAAAAGTGGTTTGGATACGGATACAAATAAATGCAAGAGTTGTTTGGCGCTATTGTGGAAAATAAACAACCAGAGCTGTAAAACATTCAAAATGTGGTTTACAATTACAATTTACTCTTGTATTTCCCTAAATCACAACAGAAGTCATCTCAGAGACTCAAAACCATTGAAATCACCAACACAGATCAGAGAATCAACAGTTTAAACACATAAAGAATATAAGACACATGTTGATAAATGTCATACATGTTGTAGAATGTTAAAGTGTCCTGGATCATCACCACAGTCCTTCTAGTTGGACACTAACTGCCCAACAGACCCTCCTGCATCAGCAAGAAAAAACTCATAAGAAAACCCAGTGGGAAAAAGAGAGAAACCTCGGGGAGACCCATGGTTTGAGAAAGGGATCCGCTCCCACGGACAGACGGGCTATAGATCCAGGACCTAAGCTACAGGACGTGGACTAGCGGCCGCTTAGCGTGGACAGGTCCGGTACAGGACTGAATAACTCCCAGGCGGGTCGGGCAGGGCAGTCCGCAGGTGTAGATGGAGGAGGCCAGGCTCAGAGGTCCCGTCATCGTACCATGAAACAGACAATGGGACAACGGGTGAATAGCAATGAACAAACAACAGTCAAAATAATGCTATTGCAAATAATGCAAAACAGATAAAGTAGGAAGGAGGAGAGGATAGTGCTCAAGTTACCATACTGCATTTATTTAATTAATTTTGTATTAATTTCAGTAAATGTATACAACGGTCAACCATGTGTGCAGTCCTGCCTCAGAAGGTCTCACTGAATCCTCATTTCTCCCCGGATGAATATAGGCTGGAGTCTCTCTACACTTGGCGCCTCTCAGTCCGAGTCTGAGTGATATCCGTCACTCAAACCCCCTCCGTCTGCTTTACTCACTCTGATACAACTCTGACATCACGGAGACCGATCAGTGTGACCTGGACAGATCGTTCTCCGACCCAGATATGTAACTAACATCTGCCACTCTTCCTTCCTCGGCCTCGACGTGTCTACAGTACGACAGATAGTTAGTGCGGCTTCTCGGCCAAAATGCATGATCCATTCTTTGATTTACTCCCAAGTTAAAAGTGAATTATACCAAGTTAGATTTTCCACAACCGTGCTTTCGGATACATGGGTCTCGTATTTGCGCGTCACACGTCCGGCTTCTGTGCAGCTCGGAACTTTACATTTTGGCAAAGAACTAGCAATAGCTCTGTCCGTAAACACAGCCAGAAACTAAAACATAGGGTGCACTGGATTACAAGGCGTTCTGTTAGCATTAAAGACTTTTATATGCGCCTAATAGTGCGAAAAATACTGTGGTTTTCTCAGAGTACTTTACAAAGCTGTGGATTCACCGACACAGATCAGAAAATCACACTGTCATTGGTCCATGAGGAGCAGACACCAATTTCACATATAAAAACCGTAGCATGTTGTTGTTTTCTACCTGTTCCTGTTTCCATAGTAACCAACGTCTTGTGATACTTGGCGGACATCCCACGCTGTCAACTCAATTAAATTATCCTGTTTCCACCTGCTCTACTCTACTCTACTCTACTCTACTCTGCTCTATGCTACTCTTCTCTACTCTACTCTATACTGCTCTACTCTACTCTAACCTTCTCTTCTCTACTCGCCACTGCTCTACTCTACTCTACTCTACTCTAATCTACTCTACTCTACTCAGTGTGTGTATGGCTGACTCTATAGTGTTGTTCTCATTTTCAAAATACATCAAGTGTCTTTGTTCTGATCTGTGAATATTCTTGCTCAGGTTTGAACAAGAACAAACTAAATAATCAGTATAAAAAGTACATCATAAAAAAGTGCTGCGGTGCAGACCTCGCCGTCCTTTACCACAAGTACAAAAATAGCCGGAGCCCCCGAGCGCAGCGGTCCACTCCTCGGCCTCAGATCCTCTCACATGTTTTTAAGCGTGTTTTGATCACCCCTCTTTACACTTTCACATCCACTTGGCCATATTAGCCCTGTTTCCACGCTCAAAGACGGTGGTAGCTGCGGCTGGCCGTCCTCCAAGCGCTTTGCTCCGCTGAAAGATGCAGCACAGAGTCTGGCAGAGGCTCGCTCCGACTTCTAAAGCGAGAGAAGCCCATCAGAAATGCAGAGAGAGCCGCGTCTCTGCCATCCACATGCAAAACGAGCTGGCAGTGTGTGTGCTGGGGGAGAGATGGAGAGAGAGACCAGAGAGATCTGTGTCTCTGCCATCTACATGCAAAACGAGCTGGCATTATGTGTGCGCTGGGAGAAAGAGGGAGAGAAGGAGAGGGAGAAAGAGAGGGAGCGAGAGGGAGAAAGAGACCAGAGAAAGACCAGAGAGAGACTAGAGAGACGGGGGAGAGAGAACCAGGGAGATACTGGAGACCAGAAAAAGGCCAGAGAGAGTGTGACAGACCAGAAAGAGGGGTAGAGAGAGACAGAGAGAGAGAGAGAGAGGGGGGCAGAGGTACCAGGGAGAGACCAGAGAAAGAGAAAAGCAGAGAGAGAAAGAGACCAGAGAGAGAGAGATGTAGAGTGAGATGCAGGCCTTGTGGGCTGGGATCCTGTCTCCGGCTGATGCAGATCAAATAGGGTTTTACACTTCTTTTTTTACACAGATTAAAGCAAGTATGTGAAACGTGTGATGGAGACAAAAATCAGGCCTGTGTAGGACGGAGACCGAGCGGCTGCAGCAGGAGGCGTCTGCTCCACCATGACAGCACTCCCAGACTAAAGTGTGTCAGGCCAAGTTTTTCTGATCGGTGTTTGAGCAAGATGTGAGGATCAGCTCCAGCAGATAGAGGGAGATGTGGAAATCTACCCAGAAACTCCATCAGACTGATGTGAGGAGAGAGGCGAGGATTTGGATCAGGATCTAGTCCAGTGTATGTCCTAGTACAAATATATCAGAATCAGAATCATTTTTATTGCCACGTAAGTAGCAGGAAGTCACAGACTTGGAAATTGCTTTGGCTCAGTGCAACAGTCAGAAAGAGAGGTAAAGAATCGAGAATAGGCATAATAAAAATCAGCATACACTTCTAAGGAATAAAATTTATTAAGTAAGTAATTGAGTTATTACAATTACAATGTACAATATGCAGTAGGATAAGGCGACAAGCAGTAAAGTGACGTTATGAGGGGCATTAAAGGGACTTAATAAGGGACAGTAAAGTGACATTATAGGGGGCCGTAAAGGGACTTCTAAAGGGCAGGGGGACAGGTTATGAAGTGTTCAAGAGTCCAACAGCAGAGGGGAAGAAACTGTTCTTCCCCTGGTTCTAGTCCTGATGGACCGCAGTCTCCTGCCTGAGGGGAGTGGTTGGAATAGTCCATGTGCAGGGTGAGAGGGGTCGGCTGTGATACGAGTAGTAGTAAGTAGTAGTAGTAATCTTTATTTATATACCGCCTTTTCACTGCAGATCTGAGTCTCAAAGCGGTTTACAATTGTAAATTTTTTTTCTTTTTGTTTTTTATATTTTTTTTGACATTTGTCTCTCACTCCACACAGAGATGGGAGCGGGGCCAGTACAGGAGGCACATGCCAGAACTATTGGACATATTTTTAGTGGTAGGGGAAACCGGAGTACCCGGAGGAAACCTACGCAGACACGGGGAGAACATGCAAACTCCACTCAGAAAGGCCCTGGTCCGACCGGGATTCGAACCCAGGACCTTCTTGCTGAGAGGCAAGAGTGCTATCCACTCAGCCACCGTGCCGCCCACGAGCAGCCCGGCCTCGAGCTCGGGCGACGTACAGGTCCTGCAGCGATGGAAGGCTGCGGCCGATCACTTCCTCTGCAGAGTGCACAATGCGCTGTAGTCTCTGTTTGTCCCTGACTGTGGCTCCAGCGAACCACACGGTGATGGACGAGGTGATGGAGGAGGTGATGGAGGAAGTGATGGAGGAGGTGATGGAGGAAGTGATGGAGGAGGTGAGGATGGACTCGATGATGGCCGTGTAGAACTGCACCAACATCTGTGCAGGCAGCTTGGCTTTCCTGAGCTGCCGCAGGAAGTACATCCTCTGCTGGGCCTTCTTGATGAGGGAGAGAGATAGAGAGAGAAACCACAGAGAGGGACAGAGAGATGGAGAGAGAGCGGCAGAGAGAGACTAGAGAGAGAGGGAGATAGAGAGAGGGGGGAGAGGGCGAGAGACCGATAAAGAGGCAGAGAGAGACCAGAAAGACAGAGACTCATGTCCAGGTACAAATATATCCGACTAAATGACAACTTCCACAACAATGTTTTGGAATAGAGTGAGGGAAGCTGGATCCCGTCAGAGCTCTGAAGCTAAACAGAGCAGGGCCTGGTTAGTACAGTGATGGGAGACCTTTGGGAACACCAAGACACTTCACGAGATTACTACTGTTGTGGTTTGAATTGAATGAATTATTGGCAAAGTAGTAGCTGTCGTCCCATAGGGTTTGGGTAACAAAGGGTTAAATATGTGTTAATGCTGGTTCTAGCAACAGCACCTGGAGAAAATCAGTGAGAGCTTTCTTGTGTCATTTCGTGTGTACGGCCGTTGATAGTGACGCATACTTTTTTGTTGTTTCAGTTATGGTGATTTTGGGGATTTTTGTCATTTTGGGTGCGATGATAATAATAATAAAAATACACTATATTTAAAAGCGCCTTTCTGGACACCCAAGGACACTGTACAGGACATAAAAAACATAAAAAACAGGATCAACAGAATAAAACAGTAGTCAAGTGCAATATGGAATGGTGGGTGCGTGTGTGTTATGGTGCTTTCAGACCGGATCATGCGTTGCGCACTGCAAAGTCTATGGTGGCGCGCGTTCAACCTTCACAACGCACGAACGGACTGTTCAATAATGACGCACGGATTTGGCGGGAAAGTGATAAAGGAGGAGCAGGAGCGAAAAATCGACGCCCACAGGAGATGGATTCTGCTCATCCTTTCCTTGGGACGTTTGTGCGACAACCAATCAGAGAGCAGCAAAGTGGTCACGGGGACATTAGCGGACTGAGCGAGCAGACTGAAAATACTCATTAACAGCCCAAACAGGACCCACACCAGACTTAACCAGAACTCAAACCAGGGTTGACAATGGGGGACTCTGTGCTTGTGAAAATATGCGTCGTCATGCTCCCGTGACCTTATGCAATTCCGTTTAATAATATGAAAACACGTATGGCGCAACTCCGTGAACACATACTGCTGTTATATAAAGCCCGTGGAATGTCTGTGAGCAAAGACACGCTGCAAAGCTGCATATTGGAGAAGATCTGTACACAAGAAGCCGCTAGCATAGCTCTGTTAGCATCAGAGCCGGCCGGCTACTTCCGGTACTTCCGGCTCGTGTCAGGACGTTCTGGTGTGAAGTCCTCTACGTCTGAAAACTAGAGAATGTGCGTCTGGTGAGCGGGGCTTCAGCGTTTCAGCGTTGGCGGTCTGAAAGCCCAATTAGGTGGGTGCGTGTGTGTTAGGTGGGTGTGTGTGTGTTAGGTGGGTGTGTGTTAGGTGGATGTGTGTGTGTTAGGTGGGTGTGTGTGTGTTCGGTGGGTGCGTGTGTGTTAGGTGGGTGCGTGTGTGTTACAGTGGGTGTGTGTGTGTTAGGTGGGTGTGTGTGTGTTCGGTGGGTGTGTGTGTGTTAGGTGGGTGTGTGTGTTCGGTGGGTGCGTGTGTGTGTTAGGTGAGTGTGTGTGTGTTAGGTGGGTGCGTGTGTGTTAGGTGGGTGTGTGTGTGTTAGGTGGGTGCGTGTGTTAGGTGGGTGCGTGTGTGTTAGGTGGGTGTGTGTGTTAGGTGGGTGTGTGTGTTAGGTGGGTGTGTGTGTTAGGTGGGTGCGTGTGTGTTAGGTGGGTGCGTGTGTTAGGTGGGTGTGTGTGTGTTAGGTGGGTGTGTGTGTTAGGTGGGTGTGTGTGTGTTAGGTGGGTGTGTGTTAGGTGGGTGTGTGTGTGTTAGGTGGGTGTGTGTTAGGTGGGTGTGTGTGTGTTAGGTGGGTGTGTGTGTGTTCGGTGGGTGCGTGTGTGTTAGGTGGGTGTGTGTGTGTGTTACAGTGGGTGTGTGTGTGTGTTAGGTGGGTGTGTGTGTGTTCGGTGGGTGTGTGTGTGTTAGGTGGGTGTGTGTGTTCGGTGGGTGCGTGTGTGTGTTAGGTGAGTGTGTGTGTGTTAGGTGGGTGCGTGTGTGTTAGGTGGGTGTGTGTGTGTTAGGTGGGTGTGTGTGTTAGGTGGGTGCGTGTGTGTTAGGTGGGTGTGTGTGTTAGGTGGGTGTGTGTGTTAGGTGGGTGTGTGTGTTAGGTGGCAGCGTGTGTGTTAGGTGGGTGGTGTGTGTTAGGTGGGTGTGTGTGTGTTAGGTGGGTGTGTGTTAGGTGGGGTGTGTGTGTTAGGGTGGGTGGTGTGTTAGGTGGGTGTGTGTGTTAGGTGGGGTGTGTGTGTGTTGGTGTGTGTGTGTGGTTAGGTGGGTGTGTGTGTTAGGTGGTGGTGTGTGTGTGTTGGGTGGGTGTGTGTGTTAGGGGTGTGGTAGGTGTGTGTTAGGTGGGTGTGTGTGTGTTGGTGGTGTGTGGTGTGTAGTGGTGGTGGGTGTGTGTGGGTTGTGTGTTAGGTGGGTGTGTGTTAGGTGGGTGGTGTGTTAGGTGGGTGTGTGTTAGGTGGGTGTGTGTGTGTTAGGTGGGTGCGTGTGTTAGGTGGTGTGTGTTAGGGGTGTGTGTTAGGTGGTGTGTGTGTGTTAGGTGGGTGTGTGTTAGGTGGTGTGTGTGTGTGTTAGGTGGGTGTGTGTGTGTTAGGTGGTGTGTGTGTGTTAGGTGGGTGCGTGCACATCAGCTTACAGCCCGAAGTGTCAAATGGGACTCAAAGGTGGGCAAAAGAGAACACTTTTTATCAGATAAAGACCGCATGATTGAGGTCTGATTCCTAAAAAGTGAAATACTTCACTTACCTATTCTGACTTTGGGTTTGCGCCGTGTCCAGAGTCCATGATCACAAATATAAAAAGTGCTAAAGTCAAGCACAGATAACAGAGGCAGTGCTTGTCATGTGCCTGCTGAGCCAGGAATGCACTGAGTACCACCGGTAAACACTTCTATATCCACAATAAGTGAAGCCCATGAGGACAGGCCCTGGACTGGCCCTGTGTCCAACTGCCCGACAGCTCAGCTACACAAATGTTAGAACAACCAACCATTTTCGTCATCACTGCTGCTGTTGACAAAATCTTCTATTGATAATTTCATAAGACTGTGAGGCAGTTGTAGACGGTCGTTGCCTACACACTCATCTATTTGCGGGGCTGCCGTCACAGACAGGCATAATTTTGCCAATAGTTTGAAATGTGATTAATTACGATTAATTAATTTTTAAGCTGTAATTAACTTGATTAAAAAAATTAATCGTTTGACAGCCCTAATATATATATATATATATATATATATATATATATATATATATATATATATATATATATATATATATGTATATGTATATATATATATATATATATATGTATATGTATATGTATATGTATATATATATATATATATGTATATGTATATATATATATATATATATGTATATGTATATGTATATGTATATATATATATATATGTATATGTATATGTATATATATATATATATATATATGTATATGTATGTATGTATATGTATATGTATATGTATATATATATATATATATATATGTATATATATATATATATGTATATGTATATATATATATATATATATATATGTATATGTATATGTATATATATGTATATATATATATATATATATATACTATATATATATATATATATATGTATATATATATATATATAAGCAGCTGGATAGCTCAGTTGGTAGGGCACAGGACTGGGACCTGGGAGGCCAGGGTTCGAATCCCACCGGGAGCACATTAACACCAACATCCAGTGAGGGTCCTTAGGCAAGACCCTTAATGCTACTGCCTAACTCATAACCATGAAGGTACAAATAAGCAATGAGATGCCGGATCAGCCGTCGCCCGGCCAAACAAGGTCTGCGTCAGGTGCTGGGGAACCAGAGCACCTTGATGAAAAGTGGGCTACTGGAACAAGGCGAAAGTGGACGAGATGCGATAACAGGGCTCTGTTGGAATGCTACTACTCGAGTAACCCTGGCCAAAGAGGTTATATGCAGAGAATGTGGGCTGAATGGTTACTTCGAAACCCACAGTCACAGTTGACCCCGAAACAACTGGTAGCTCAATGCTCCAACATCCACAAACGGCAACTGCTATCACAGCTTGAGATTGATGAAGTACAACACATGTATGATGCCACAGTTGCCGAGGTCAGAGGGGAGATCCCACCAACTGCAACTCCCCAACCAGATATTGGGTACATAGCCCCAATGGAACCGATAACGCTGAACGAGGCAGCGACTGACCTGAAAGCTAAGATCATGGCTAGAATGGGCACAGGGCAAAGACACCGGTTACAGCGGTTGTGTGAAGTACCACCTAAGGATCTCATAGAAAGCGTGAATGCAGCAGTGAGGGCAATACCTACCACCACAATCACTGAAACCAATGAGCTGATATACACTTCAGCAGCAGTGATCCTAGAGATGCTTGGCTATAAGAGCAACCATGGGAGCCATGGACAATACCCACCATGGAAAAGACGGTTGGAGGCTAAGATCAAGGCGGCTCGTAGAGAAGTGAGTCAATTAACAGAGGCCCAGAGAGGTGTAATGAAAAGACCAGTACCCAGAAAGTACAGCCAGATGACCATACCTGAAGCACTCGAAACTGCCAAACAAAGGCTCCAAGCCCTGGCCAGCCGCCTACAGAGGTACACTAAAGAGAATGAAGCCAGAAGGGTGAACAGGCTGTTCGCAACACAACCTGCGAAGGTGTACGCTCAGTGGCAGGGTAACAACAGGGGAGCAGATCCACCGAGGCTGGAAACTGAACAGTTCTGGAGGAACATATGGGAGAAGGATGCAGCACATAACAGAAGTGCACAATGGCTGGTGTCCCTGAGAGAGGAGCACAGCCACCTCCCAGAACAGAACTCAGTTACCATCACAGAGGCAGACATCCGAGAAAGAGTCTCAGGTATGAAAAACTGGACAGCACCTGGCCCTGATATGGTCCATGCCTACTGGCTAAGGACACTCACATCACTCCATGAGCGCCTAGCAGCACAAATGAACCAGCTGCTGAGAGATGGGACTCACCCAGAATGGCTAACCGAAGGGCGAACGGTCCTGATCATGAAGGACCCTGTCAAGGGTGCAGTCCCCTCCAACTACCGGCCAATAACCTGTCTCTCCACAACATGGAAGCTCATGTCAGGCATCATTGCGGCTAAGATAAGTGGGCATATGGAACAATTCATGAGCACAGCACAGAAGGGCATTGGTAGGGACACCAGAGGAGCCAAACACCAGCTCCTGGTTGACAGAACAGTCGCCCAAGACTGCCGGTCACGACACACCAACCTGTGCACAGCCTGGATTGATTACCAGAAAGCCTACGACTCAATGCCACACACATGGATCATGGAATGCTTGAAGTTGTACAATATCAACAGGGCTCTAAGGGACTTCGTTGCAAACTCGATGGGAATGTGGAAGACCACCCTTGAGGCAAATGGCAAGCCGCTCGCACAAGTGACCATCAAATGTGGTATCTACCAAGGAGATGCTCTGTCCCCACTACTGTTCTGCATAGGCCTCAACCCTCTAAGCCAAGTAATTGACCAGACTGGCTATGGATACCGCCTCAGGAACGGAGCAAAGATCAGTCACCTCCTCTACATGGATGACACCAAGCTGTACGCCAAGAGCGAGAGAGACATCGACTCTCTGATCCAAACAACCAGGATCTACAGCCATGACATCGGGATGTCATTCGGGCTCGAGAAATGTAGCAGGATGGTGACTCGGAGAGGCAAGGTAGTCCACACAGAAGGGATCTCACTCCCAGAGGGAACAATAGCAGACGTTGAGGACAGTTACAAGTATCTCGGTATACCACAGGCAAATGGCAACCTCGAACAGGTGACGAGGAAAGCGGCAACTGCCAAATACCTCCAGCGAGTAAGGCAGGTCCTAAGAAGCCGGCTCAATGGCAAGAACAAGGCCCGGGCAATTAACAGCTACGCCCTGCCAGTGATCAGATACCCTGCAGGAATAATCAGGTGGCCAAAGGAAGAGATTCAGACCACGGATGTTAAAACTCGAAAGCTCCTTACCATGCATGGCGGGTTCCATCCCAAATCCAGCACCCTGAGACTGTACGTAAGCCGTAAAGAAGGAGGCCGAGGACTAGTGAGTGTGAGAGCCACTGTCCAGGACGAAACATCCAAACTCCATAACTACATCATGGAGAAGGCCAAAACGGATGACGTACTCAGTGAATGTCTCAGGCAGTGGCGAGATGAGGAGGTGCTGGAGGAGAGCCCATCATGGGAGAACAAGCCCCTACACGGCATGTACCACCGGAGCATAACAGAAGTGGCTGATCTCAAGAAGTCCTACCAATGGCTAGAAAGGGCTGGCCTACAGGACAGCACAGAGGCACTCATCATGGCTGCACAGGAACAGGCCCTGAGCACCAGAGCGATAGAGGCCCAGATATACCACACCAGACAAGACCCAAGGTGTCGGTTGTGCAAAGAGGCACCTGAGACGATCCAACACATAACTGCAGGGTGCAAGATGCTGGCAGGGAAGGCCTACATGGAACGCCATAACCAAGTGGCTGGCATAGTGTACAGAAACATCTGTGGAGAGTATGGGCTGGAAACCCCAAGGTCTAAGTGGGAAACTCCTCCAAAGGTGGTGGAGAATGAGAGATCCTGTGGGACTTCCAGATACAGACCGACCGAATGGTAATGGCAAACCAACCTGACATCGTGGTGGTAGACAAAGGGCAGAGGACAGCCGTGGTGGTGGACGTGGCAATTCCAAGCGATGGTAACATCCGGAAAAAAGAACATGAAAAGCTTGAGAAATACCAAGGTCTCAGAGAGGAGCTGGAGAGGGCCTGGAGGGTAAAGGTGACAGTAGTGCCCGTGGTGATCGGTGCACTCGGGGCAGTGACCCCGAAGCTAGATGAGTGGTTACAGCGGATCCCTGGAACAACCTCGGACATCTCGGTCCAGAAATGTGCAGTGCTAGGAACAGCAAAGATACTGCGCAGAACCCTCAAGCTCCCTGGCCTCTGGTAGAGGACCCGAGCTTAGAGAGGGATAACCGCCCGCGGAGGGCCAAAGGTGAGTGGACTTTTTTTTTTTTTTTTATATATATATATATATATATATATATATATATATATATATATATATATATATATACATTAAAACAATTGCAATGATTAAAAAGTTGATTTGAAGGGGAGTGTATATGATGGAGGAGAAATTATACATCTTCATACTATATTCCTTTAGAACATAAGCTCTGAAATGCTGTACCTGGGATTGATTATGGTTTTGCCGGCGTGTGCCTTGAGCTCCCACAGCATGACTCTGCCGTCGCTGACCATCAGGGCAGCATTGTTTTCGTTAACAGGACAGATGACCATTCGATACGGCCGCACTGTTTTGGTCACTCTAATGGCATCGCACTGAGAACGCAGGTCATACACGAGCTCCTGCACACTCTGCTCTGGGTCTGAGGAAAAAGAAGAATATAAAACTACTAAGAAATAGTCAGGAAAGTTTTAACAAAGCCCAATATGAAATAAATGTAAACGAAAACCACAAAAAACACTTGATCTTTAACACTTTTGAGTTAATTATAGTCACTTATAAAGTATAGTATAACAGATCTTGCTTTTAAACCTCTGAAATCCTATGGCACCATGCTGTGTGATTGACTGAAGGATGAATCAAAGAATCATCTGATCTTGTTTCTTGTTCTCAGCAACAGTCAAATAGCAGCAGCGCCAACAAGTGTAAAGGAAACACTTCTAGCGTCTATTCAAATCTTGCTTGTGATGCCGCACATGCAGAGCACGGACTGATCTCAAGTTTCACTCAGGGCTCTGTCAGGGGTGCTTCATGGTAGGATACAGTATTTATTTGGATCTGCAACGTTACACATTTTTAAGGCGGCTAATGAGTACTTAAATATAAACAATGAGGGTATAGGTTGCAGATAGATCATGTAGGTCTGCATTCAGTGGATGGCTGACAATAAGATTGAGAAGATGTTAGTTTTGTTTGAGAGTTTGTTTAAAGTTTCCAAAAAAACTGTTAATCAAGGATTAAGGCTGCAACGCGATGCAACACACACCAATGCACAGATTCAGCTCTGCAGCAATGAGCCGATTAATACACGTATCTCTAAAACTCCGCTATCTTCTCTCCGTATGGTTCAAGCCAGCTGAGAGCTTTCCTGAACCACGACGAGGTTTGAACTAGGAATAAACCCCGTCTGAACCGGGTCTGAACTAGAACTGAAGAAGGGCTTGAATCCGACAGCTTTATGCAACCTAGTAATAGTGAACAACTATTGAGATCATAATCACATGGCTCTGGCTTTCTATCACAAGAGCACTGAGAGCACTTGTGTGTGGAGGGATTTGCTGGACTCTAAAAGGTTGTTCTTAGTTTAGATCCAGGTAATTATGTCATGGAACTTTGGCCAAGGCAAAGGGCCGTGCTTTGGTGCAGGGTGAGAGGATTTGTTCAATCATGAATGATTCATTTCAAATAAACAAAATGAAGGCTATCATATGACCATTAGAAAATGCCCAGTCATTAAGTTTGTCGTAATAAACACTTCACCAAACGTAAGATTCTGCTGACCTACAGTGGTCAGGTCTATTATTAATGGGGTTTTGGTTTTGTGAAAGTCCATAACCAAAACAAAATTCTCATTCTTTCTCAGATCAGACAGAAACTTTTTCCACAATATATGGAATGAAGGTAGTAAAAAGTAATAACACATAATGACGTGAAAGGTAATTGAGCAGGAAGAGAGTTATGCTAAGCAGTCTACATAATGAAGCAGATGGGAAAAGTAAGACATTTAAATTTAAGGGTGCAAATATAGGAGCAGAGAAACGACTTAGATAAGGTTCAATAGCACATAAGAGACTCGTAAAGTAAGTAAGTGACAAAGAACCAAAGAGAATGCATTAAACTTAATATGTGATAAGTGAGGTGGAGAGATCAGAAACAATGAGAACCTATTTCACAAAGCAGATAAAAATAGTATCTTAAACTTCTAAATGCCCACAGGAGCACCACTGTAGGTTAGTCTGGCCAGCTATGAGGTGCTTTGATGAAAGATCAGTCTGAACTGATCTCAGCAGTCCATACAATAGGCAAAGGGGCTTGATAATCATTTTTCTCAGTGGTAGCAATACAATACAATACAATACAATTTATTCTTGTATAGCCCTAAATGAATCACAACAGAAGTCATCTCAGAGGACTTAACAATACCATTGAAATCACCAACACAGATCAGAGAATCAACAGTTAAAACACAGAAAGAATATAGAACACACGTTGAAAAATGTCCATACATGTTGTAGAATGTTTAAGTGTCCTGGATCATCACCAGTCCTTCTAGTAGGATACTAACTGCCCAACAGACCCTCCAGCATCGGCAAGGAAAAACTCATAAGAAAACCCAGTGGGAAAATCAAAAAAGCAGTAGACAGTATGAAATGCAGTGTAAAGTATAAGAGCGAATTCAGTGGCATTTATTATCAGTTAGGTCATCTACCATCTGCCTAAACCAGACACTTTATACACTTTCTAAATAAATATGCATTTTCTATTGAGGATAACATTGTACAGACTGATAATAATAATAAGTCAAATGATTTGCAAACCTGATGCATCTTCTGTAGAAGTGGAGCGACACACGCGTAGAGTGATGCATCCGTTTTCATGAAGGCAGTACAGAGCGTCCCTTTGTGCGCAAGGGATCACCTAAAATCACACAGACGCCACATGAACTTCCCTTTCGACTTTGTGCAACTGATGAAATTAAAATAAAGCAGGTGAATCCCCCATGAATGGTCATAAGCTGAAACAAATAAACAACAACATTAAAGAATTAAGCAATAATTAATTTAATAAACTTATTTGGCTCAAAATGCTTTGTATTACGAATAAAATGGCAAATATCTCATCCATTCATCCATTTTCTTCCCCTTAATTGATTTCCGAGTCCAAGGGGTGGCAGTCAATGCACCCATTTCACAGAGCACCTCCTGCAGGTGGTGAGTCCACAGGAGGACGTCTGCTCTGTTGGTGACAGCAGAGTCTTGATCTTTCAGTGAATTATCTCATCACTATTGCAATATGAAAAAGGAGGAGAAAGGAGAGAGGTTCTCTCCTGTTTATATTAATTTCTGTTATAGATCTGTAAGCTGTTCTATTGCTGGATGCTGGAGGTTGCTTGGACCTGGAAATGGTAGACTACTTGTGTGAAATTAGGCAATGCTTATTCAAAAAGTTTTGGAAAATCAAATTCTATGACATTGACTTTTGACTTTTTTTGTGATAGATCCATTCTTCAACCATTTCTGTCCATTGTGAAAAGTGAAAGTGCTGTACATTTTGCACGCACACACTGGACATTTGTTTGCATTTGGGGTAGATGCTATTGCCCTAACATCTACCCCACTTTCCCTGAAGCCTTGTGATCAGTCATGCAAATTGGCTGCATGACAAGCACTTTATAACACTTAGAGGCTGGAACTGGGGCCGGACAGCAGAATAATAACTGGCCACTCTAGAGCTGTGACTTTGGGGCCTGGACAACAAAGCTTTGTTGCACCATCTGTATACTTAAGCTCAGAGAAAACTTATTTTAAAAAATGGCTATCAAGGCACTTCAACTATGATTTAAGCAGAAACAAATCAAGACACATTGGATTACTTTTGACTATTCTTTACAGAATTGTTTTGAAAAATACACGTTCCTTATTGTGGTGCTAACCTACTTTGCTTCTACATTCAACAACGCAGCAACATCAGGAGTGTGAAAAGTTTATTGCAGTAATTTAAGCAAGTCTACACTTGGCTAGTGGCGGCACAGTAAGCAAAAGTGAAGTAAGCTTTCCCATTGTTCCAAAATCTGTGAAAAATCCTAAAGTTCAGTTGTTCTCAAACTTTTCACACAATATTTTTTTTACCAACTCCCATGTACAAACTAGGTAAACATGGCCTTCCGAGTACATATTTACACCAGGTCTAAATGGAATCTAAATGGGGCTAAAGCAAGACACAATTTCTAAGGCCGTCTAAGTTTAGAAAAATACAATTCTACAAAAATATTTCATACAAAGCTTGCATAACCCTTTTTTGGATAAATCACATTTCATTTAATTAAGTAGAAGTCATAGTAATCTAAATGTCATGGGACTGCAGTCATTTAAAAGTTAACAGCAGACAGTAGATAGTAGATAGTTGGAGCCACACATTTATCAGTTTTAATCAAGACTGGGCCGACCTGCTGTGGCTCCGTCAGACAGACATAAGGCGAAAGGAAATGGGAGGAGGAAGGAGCTTATCGGTCACAGCAGGTGGATGTATTGTCTTGTGAGAGGACACTAGATGTGGGAATAGATTTTGAAAATACATCTCCTGAAATACACTAGCTGAAAATCAAGTATCACAGAAATAGTATGAAGTTTTACGCAAAGACAGACTTACACCAAGTAAGTAAGACTCACTTGGTGTAAGCAAGTACTTACTTATCTGCTGCAGTAAGTGTTTGTTGCAGTAAGAAACGATTTTGCGAGTTTGTGAGAAGAGCATAACCACTAGAGTTCAAGTGATGCTGAAATATATAAAATCAATAAGCCAAATATTATGATATTTTAGTGAAGTGAAATACACATTTATGGTTGACATGCAAATTGTACTAGTTTTTACTTGACATGAAAATAAGCACCACAAACACCAACTCAAACCTTTATGAGGGTAGTCTTGAGAAACATGTTTTTTTTTTTTAAATAATACACTTCAATCATCAAGGTGGGGTCAAGTCACAATCAAAGACCCTTTAAGCACTTTTTTAAAATGGCGGGCGAGGAGCATTTCACCACTTACTATTCTGCAATAATAACACAATCCAATCGTTTATGGACCGGTTATAAAAATCTAAATTTACCAAACTGTTTTTACAACCATTTATCAACCATTTTCCAGGGTCTGCGAAGTCGACATACAGTCATTATTATAATTGAACCTTGAGGGGACTGAATATAATGCCACCATCTGCCAACTGTAATGCATTTTCATCCAATTTAAAAGTTTTTAAATGAAATACCTTTTTAATCATTCTAAAGTACTGCTGTACACACCCATCAATAGCAAATGTATACACTTTTGCTACTTCAAAGTTAAGGCTACATTATAATAGACTTGAGGACAAAGAACCTGTTCATTACCTGTGTGAAGGGCACCCCAGAGCGCTCGATGGCCACCACTCCCACCGTCTGGCTCAGCTCCAGGTCCAGGATGAGGATCTCTCGGGGGTACAGCAGCAGCATGTGGTTTCTTTTGGAAGGAAGGTAGGAAAGCTGTAGACAGTCGTTCAGCGTCACAGCCTCAGCACTGGAAAAACAACCAAGACATCACTTTGATAACAGGGTGTCCGCACGGGAAAGCCATCATCCTGTCAAATTACATTTATTAAAAAGCATCATTCGATAATATCACATTATAATTGAAGTAACAGCTTCAGTGTGACTGCATCCAATTTCTTTGCTAAAGCTGCCAAGAAATGAATAAAGCGATACCACCAATGTGATAATCATGTTAGTGCTAGTGTCTGGGGAGGAGGAGTGATACTACCAGTCCATGTCAACCCAGGAGTTCTTGAGCAATTCTTGAGATTAAATAAATGAAGAGTATGGAAACTAAGCACATTTCTAAGCTAGGTTTTAAAATATGAATCAAAAGCAAAGCTAAAACTATGAAAATGTATTAGTGATGATACATGAAAATAACATTTGTCGCAGCTTCAGGAAACTCATACTATTGTTTGGTCTTTAGTCAACTTTTACAAAAGTTTTACAAGTTTTACAAAATAGATTGATAATATGAATGACTGAAAAGGAGATAAAATTAAATTGAAATGCAATAGAAAAAAACAATAAACAAAAAGAAATACTTAAAAAAAAAAAAAAAAAGGACATAATATTATTCAGTATTATAATATGTGCAAATGAAACAGGTTGGAATGACCTCACACAACTCTAACAAAGAATGGTAGACTGAAGAAAAACAAAAAACAAGGCTACGAGCAGGTTCCAGTCTGTCCTCTTCCTGTGGGTCATAAAGGAGACACACAAACTTTCTAACGCCTTTGTGATCATTACCGGCCTAAAAACGACAGGCGGATAAAAGGCACTCAACGGGAGCCCAGGAGAAGATGGTGCACTAAATCAGTCACACTAGCAGCTTCCAGTGGGCAGAAATAGAAATCTTTGAGACATAAAGTACAAAATCCAGAGAAAAACCCGCATCAAATGAGATATAAATGAAGAAATACTGTATTATCATTATTATTAGTAAAATGTATTATTATGTTGAATACTTGAATAAGACAGTATGATATACTGTCTTATTCGAGTATATAACAGTTGAAGCTTTTTGGTTCTTCTATACCAGACAATTGTAAGATATGACATCTACTAAAAAAAACAAGATGAACCTTCGTAAACTATTCAACAACTGGATAAAGGAGATTTAAAGAGTCAGCAATCAAAACAGCCCTGTACAAAATATTAATATTTGATAAAAGGCCTATAGCTCATCACATGAGCTTGATTGTTGCTTTTGCAACAATCAAAATGGAATTTCTGCATAATGGTGCACTTAAGATTAGAATCAAAAATTAACAAAGGAGCTGCTCAGTTCTTAAGCCTGCACATAACACGCTTTTAAATGGTTTTAATCTGTTTGGTTTTTGTGTATCGCAAAAAATGTGGGGAGACAGTAGCTCAGATGGTAGACCACTGGTCTTTGGACCTACTGGTCGAGGGTTCGAGCCCACCACGACCCATGTCATCTGCTCACACTGATGTCTACTGTCGTTGTGTCCCTGGGCAAGACACTCAACCCCACAATTAAATGATTACTAATTCAGTAATTTATTATGGTGTTATATTGTTGTTTTTTACCTTACATAAACTGAGAAGAGGTTTTATAACTGAGTGTATAATGAAATGAAAACAACAACCACCCAAATTGATGTTTTGGTCAAATGTGTTAAAAAAAATCCCCTATTCACGGGCCTTCAGGATCTAAACTAATGGATTAACTAACTAACTAATTGGCCAAGTCATTGATTATCAAAATAATTGTTAATTACAGCCCTACACAATCACTGGATTCACTTTTGAGTATGAGAAAGGTGCTCTATGGTTGTGCGAGAGGCAAATGCATGTGAATAATCCTATATGACAAAAGAAGTGATAAGAAACCAAAATATCTACTTCAACATGTTACTATTTCAAAATTGTACAACACCTAGAGTGCTCCTTTCATCCTATTAGTAAGTGTTTTTTAATAGAACACATTTTAATACAGTTTTTTACTATAGTGACTGATTTAACGGCTTAAAATGTGCTACATGAATGTTTTACATGGATCCCACAGAGAGCTTAATTAACAACTTTGTTTAATTACAGTATGGCTCAAAGACCAAAGAAAAGAGACCAGCAGCAGCAGCCTATAAACCAGCTGGAGAGTGATTACTTGATAAAACACAAGTATGCTTGTTTTTATAGTCCTAAAATGACGGCAATGTCGGTTTGGTTTACAAAATACAGTAACTTCTGTATTTTGTTTTCATATTATATATGAAATAAAAATATATATAATTTTGATATAATTTTGATAATGATATATATAAATAAAGCTTACTTACTTACTTACTTACTTACTATTAAGTTGTGACACGCATTGAAACCAAATCACATTAGTGGCAGTCTTGTAAAATTGTGTATACTGTTAATTATTACCTTAAATATTGTACAGTGCATAACATGTCCAGTGATAGTGTTTGTATGTCTCAATACGAATACAATGCATTGAATATTCCACAGTATGGCATTATACACATAATCCATCTCCACCGAGACAAGTAGGTGTAACTCTGCCAAAATTCGAGGTGAGATTTGCAGAGAGTGTCACTTACGAATTTCTGTGTTTGTACAATAAAATCACATTCAAATACGGAAATGTTAGAGGGACAACATTAGTGTCATGCCCTGTAACACAATTTATGCAAAACAGCAGGTAATTGCAACTGAATAACATGTGGAAAACTGAAGGAAAGCCATTGATTGCTGCATATTGAATTGCGTTTCCCTCAGTATTGAACAATAACACTAGCTCGAAATATGTAAATCACCACGCCCATTTGCAGCAATATAACCGCTCCTGTGGCTTTGAAACAACACCCATTGATAGAGTAGCATATCTTTTCCCAGAGATTATTGGTTGGCAGCAAAGACAGTCATTTACATGATAGTGTGAGAGACTAAGGGGCTGATAGAAAAAAAGAAAATTAGAAAAAACAGCACAGGCCACACAATGTCTCAAATCCCCTCCTATCACTTGAAGCACAACTAAGAAAAATATAACAACCTCACAAATAATGCCTGAGATTTTCTATAGCAATTATATTTGGCAAGACAAAAGAAATGTCACAAAACAAAAAAGAGGGGAAAAAATGGTAAGCAGGAAGTAAATACAATAACATTAGATTTATGCAAGTTTGTCATTAGGACATTCTAAACTGGAGATTTGGGGAATAATAAATCTTCTTTGCTCCGACAACTGGAGGCAGTGAGCGGATGATCTAGGAAACTGCACACACACACATCCTCAAAGAGTCGCCCAATATAACATCAGCATTGTTAGGAATATAAATGGGGTCATTTTTTGGGTAGTATTTATTACCACAGCATAAATAAAACATATGTAGGGGCGTTGGTTTGGCTGGACTCTGCTTTCAACACTTTAGCAGAAAGAAGACATTGTACAAAACGTAGCTTGCACTAAATGTCCTTATGGGTTTGAGCAGAAACAGTTTTTGTGATTTCAGATGATACAATTGGGGGTAAATATCAAACTCAGTTCAATGTTTCTAGACAACTAAGGGACTGAACAGTTTAATAAAAGATGATTTATTTGAACCCGCTTGAAATGATCTCAAACCAATCATACAAGGTACAGAGATTAGTTATTCAACTGATTTATAAAATAAATAATGACTAAGAGATTTTTCATCAACTAGAACAAAACAGTGATGCCCTTCGTCAATGTCGCCATGTACAAAATGCAACATATTTGGTTGTTTGATCAAAATAAATTCATGTCAAAATCAACTCCATGTCAATCTGTAGTATTTTGTACCATTTCCGTTCCATTTCATTATAGCTTGACCTGAGTCATAAAAATGCTTCTTGGATCATGGTTTGGTCCAATTATGGCTCAAAAGCCAGATTAAATAGATTACTAACATAGTTGACAACTATCTCAATTATCGATTAGTCATAATCAATTAATCGATTCACTTCTCAAATTAAAATGTTTTCTGGAACGATAATCTAATTTGTGGACTGCCCTGTTGAGCTTGTGTTGAACAACTCATAGAAGCAGAGCTGGAACCCCCATTTTCACGTAATAATCTAATACAATAGAATTAATCCAAGTAAATAGAAATTAAAACAGCTTTATTGCCGAGCCTTTATTGCTCTGATCCAAAAAGCAGATTTGTAAAGCAATGTTGTCCAAAAGGCCGTCTATTTTGGAATAAAAGTGCATATAGAACACATCCATATGATATGAAGTTGGCCTTATCACAACCGCAGATTTTGCAAAAGGAAGAGTTGAACATCACGTTGGACCATACAATGTTATTTGGGCAAAGTAAACAGACATGAATGCCATTTTAATTTACAGCCTCATTAAAACTGCAATTGATAAAGACAATCTCAAACCATTGCAATTAAATTATTGCAGCTGTGTGAGGGAGTGCTCTTGATAATATTAGACTCATTTTCCATCATGTGAGACATTCAGCTTGTTTAATGGCTTCCTGTTATATAATAATGAATTGGCTTAGAGTGTCTTCCTCTCCAGCTTCATTCGTCTCACATGTTCAAAGTAAATCCGCTTTCAACTCGACCTAAAGCTATTAATCTCATATTAGAGCCGTCTTTAATCATTGGAGAAAACCAGAGACGTGATGAATAGTTTGGGTCTTCTGCTGTGTTCCTCCAAAACAAATAAGCTGTCACACTTTGCCTTCAACAGATCCATTTTCTTGCCAAAAATGAAGTGAGCAGAAAATTGGAGAGTGTTTAAGTAGTGGCGACCTCCACGCACAGCGGCTGAGTCAGCATCATTACTCGGAGCCAAATGCAACCTGTTGGGAGCTAACTGGAGAAACCACATTGAAACTCAGCTACATCCTTTTAATAATGCCATGGCAGGTGCAGCACTAAAGTTTCTACATCCTCAATACTCTTCAAAGACTCATCTGACCTTGGAGGATGTTAATGACCACACCTCACACTTTGAGCAATTTATTAGGAAACATGCTGAGTGAAGTGTATTATGGAGACCATTTTAGTGACAGTATTATCAATAGAACATTTATATAATAGAAAATGATGTATATAATTTTTTAGTTTAGTTTAATTTTATCATTCAGCAATTTCATCCATTGCCGAGTCACAGAGGCAGCAGTAGACACGCTCCCAGTGTCATTGGCCCGGAACACCTCCCCAGGGATGTGTCCAGGAGGAATCCGAAACAGAGGCTTGAGTTACCTCACCTCAGCTGGTTTCTCTCGACATGGAGGAGGAGGAGCAGTGCCTCTACTCCGAGCTCCTCTTGTGTGACTGAGCTCTCTAAAGCTGGGCATATGATTGGATTTATAAAAATTTTATTCTCAAATATACACATTGTGTTCGGCGACTCGCTTCCGTCATCACTGTGTGTGGAATGATTGGAACAATATCTCTGAACATTGTAAAGCGCTTTGGGTGACCTTGGTCTGTAAAATGCGCTATATGAATAAACATTACTTACTTGCATTGAACAGGTTCAACAGGTATTCTGTATTATACGAGCATGAATTATTTTTTATTTTTTATAAAGTGCAAAAATACACTCCAAATCATGACATAAACAGAACATTGTTGAGCTAGCATTGCATGAAGGTAATTATTATTTAATACCAGATAAAAAGCTCGCCTCAGAGTAACCCCCGATCAACTCCCAACAACAGTCCCGCTCCCAGAGTTGTGTTTACATCGGCAGCAGTCTGACCCAGTAACCCCCCATTGGGCGCAATCCTTTATGTGCAACAAAAATATTTAAGGGAGCACCCAGCCGCTCTGTGGAAGAAACTCATTTTGACCGCTTTTATCCTTTTGGTCATTACTCAAAGCTCACGGCCGTAGATGAGAGGGAACATCAATTGTTCAGTAAATCGAGAGCTTTGGCTTTCAACTTTCGTCTGTCAAGTTCATACAAAGACTTCAAATTATAAGAGATTATTTTATGCATTTTCCACCTTGTATAACTAAATGGGATACATATTTACAATACTGTGACACATAAAATGTGGAAAAATATCACCACGGTACATTCACTGCAACCACAACCCAAGGTCATAGCAAAATTAGTGGATGCACTACCAATTCTACTTTATTTTAAACCCATGCCCTCTGGCAATTATGCTTAAAAGTAAGGTTCTCCGATTCTATTTGTACCATTTACTCCGTTTTCATCCATTATATTGCCCATAAATGCTCTGAACAATCATAATGATGTATTCAACATGGCATTGTCTTTACTTAGACAGGAAAAGCAGAGGACACAACTTCATCCATTCAGGCTGGCACACGCAGACCAAAGATATACAATATATATTATACAGTGACCTTTGGAGGCGCAGATACCCTCAGTCTACAACATGTCAGGTCGAATCATCTCCACTATCACAGAATGGCGATAGTAACTGGCAGGGAAAGTTGTACATGTAGTAAATTAAGGTCATAGCAATGAGGATACAAACGACTATTTAAAACAAAGAAAACCTGAAGGAACAAAAATGGTCAGAATTGAAGCGCAAAGACAAAGCAGCCTGCCAAAGGCAGACTGGAGCACCAACAGAAGCAATGCGTTAGTCCTGATTTAAGAACTTTTTTGACATCAATATCAGGTTTTCCAACGATTATAAAACGTTTTGCATTAGTGAAAAATCCCTTCTTTTGGCACATATTTTGTAAGCCAGTCAAAATAACATCTACATCAAGAAATACAGAAAATACATAATTTAAGCACTTGATGAATACCTTTTTGTAGGGCTGGGCGATATGTCTAAAAAAAAAAATCTCAGATTTTTTTCACACCAACTCCAATTTTTGATTTTAAATCGATTATTATCTAAAAACAAACTACAACTGACAAAGAAACAGATTTTCCTTTATGCAGTTTAATCTAAATTTCCCCATGGAGCATAAGTGTAGCAGGAAAAAAGCCTTAAAACATGCTCGTAAACAAGATGGCCCTGCCATTGTAAACGGTGAAAATGTAGCTTAACAGTTTTCTAATAACTTCACTTACAGTGACACAATGCACCTGCATGGCAAACGAGAGCCACAGCAAATATATCAATCGTATTAAACACATGCATCATTTACATTAAATATCACATTTTTAAAACGATTATGAATACACAAAATACAATTGTTATAACAGAGAAAGCCTCTTCCTTGGGTTCTTTCAACCGTGGAAGAGCAACTGTGCTGTAGTACATTGCTCGGTCCAGCTGGTGGCGCTAATACTAACTTCAGTGACTACCACGTTGTGCGAGTTAAGTTTCCGTTTCTCTTCCTGTTTAAATTCTGCTACTGAACCTAACAGCTCGAGCATGGAACGTGTTGTTTGTATCAGAGCAATGAAAGCAATGTGTGAGACGTGTGTTTCCTATAGACTGTATATTTTAACGGACAGAGTCACGCATATCTCTGACGTTCTAACTAATGGGCCAAAAATAATGCTCTACCGGAGCTATCCAAAATGGCCGCGAGTGGTCCCGCCCACAAGAAAATTGTGAAAAAAACGCATCTGGGCATGCGTCAGCTGGCGCAGCTCCATTCATTTGAACGAGAGACTTCAAAAATTCACTGCAAGTAAACTAGAGTGGACCAAAAAAATTCCCTCCCCTCAGCATTGACACACATGTGGAACGGAGCTTTGGGCCAAGAGCCAACTTTTGGACAATCCTGTAAAGACGTTTTTGAGAGGTCAGCCAATGCTATATGTTAGCATTGGCTAATTCTTCTTCTGGGTCCACCCCCATCGGCCCGGGGTGGTATTGCAAGCATGTCAGCGCACGTCATTTTGGCCACTTTTGAGCCGAAACCCGCCCCCACTGGTGTTTCCCCAAAGTGCAGCGGCTCAGTGGGACACGTGTGTGTGTGTGCGCGGGTGTGCTGTGCTGTGCTGAATGTATGAGAATTAAAGACTGAAAAGTGTGGCGTACGAGCAGGGCGACCGGAGACAGGCAGGATACAAGTTTGTGTTGGTGTGTTCTGGCGATTAAAAAAGTCAATTAAATTAAAAATGAGTCTGATTCTTGAACGTCTGAAGTGTTATTGCCACAGCACCACACTGTGAGAGCGAGGGTCAGAACAGAAGGGAGACTGTTAGCATTAGGGAGTTTTCAAAATAACTCAACACCCGCAGTTAGTGTGTTAGCACTGTAGCACTTGTAGCTCTGCGCTGGAGAAAAATAATCATCAATTTTCATTCAAAAGAAATTGCCCTAAACGTCAAATTCGAGTTAATAATTAAAATCGATTTATTGCACAGCCCTACATTTTTTATGTGTTTTTTTGTTTAGTTCAATTGCTTCATAATAAATGTGTATAAAAAGAGGGACAGATCAACCTAGTGTTTACTCATATAATATAATATACAAATGCATGAACCATTGCACAGAACCCAGACTTAAGGAACATGCTGGCCACCTGATCTAACAACTACATATATTTTCCAAAATCCTCTGATATTTTATTAACTTATAGAAACAAGTCTTTCGTGAATGAGAGTTCCCTTTGCGTGAGATTCTCCATTAGCCCTGTTCCATTAGAGTTCGGACACAGCTTTGTGCTCACTTTGGCTCTGGGCACTTTTCTTCAAAGAATGAGAGTAGCACTTTAAAAGCAGTGAGGGGAGGACTCGCTGTACTCCTCCTGAGCACAGCGGACCGTAATATGGTGTTTTGCATGAGCTCAGGTTATAGGCTCTCCTCTAAACGAAGGTAGGATCATATGTAGATTTAAGAAATATACATGTTTAATTTGTGCGTCATCATAGTACTTTAAAAAAGTAGGTAACTGTTTTAAAAGAAAGGCAATTCAAGGCCAGTTTATTTGTATAACACAGTTCATACACAAGGCAACTCAAGAGGTACTTAATAAAACAAGAAAAAACATTCAAATTTTTTCACTGCATTAAGAGTGAAGATGCACAGCAAAACATAACTTTTTTAACCTAGATTAAAAAAGTGGAAGCCTGTCTCACAATTTTGGGAAGACTGTTCCAGATTTGAGCTAAATCTGAAATGCTGACTCCCCATGTTTAGTTCTGACTGGCCACGTGCAGGAGGCCAGTCCCTGTGCTCATGTCAAAGATGCTCTTCAGTCTATTCTTTGAGCCACAGAAGCCAGTGCAGAGACCAGTTGTTTTAAGCTGTTTGGACAGTCCAGACTGATTTGTTATTGTGAAAATAGATTCCATGATGTTACAATAGGATATAACTGTTCCTAATTGATGTAATTTCCAATTATATCATTAAACAAATAGCCATGCAGATTTCTACACACAGGAACACCTTACAGACACTATTAGTGTACATTTGAATTCAGAGAGACTCACGTGGGTTTCTCGTTGGTGATGAGGACTTTGACTTTGTTGAGGGCTTTCTTGGCTCCAGTGGGAGCAGGGGTCACAGCAGGTGCAGGTTTGGCAGGGCTGGCGTGGGGGCTGGCGATGTAAACTTTTTTCCCCGTGCTTCCAGGAGGTTTAGACGGTGAGAAGTCTGTGATGAAGACTATACCTTCACTGGTGAGCACTGACAACGAGATAGAAGAGTGTTAAGAGATTATGAAAGTCCACTTTCATTTGTCAGATGAGAGATTTCTTGTCTCTCCCAAAAATCTTACAAAAATAGCTCTAACTTTATTTAAAAATGTTTTATGAAAACGCTATTCTTTGATAAAAACACTATAGATCTCTCCATCTTTGTCTGTAATATTTCATACAGCTTACAGAATTACAAATTTGTGATTTTGTTTTCTTCAGAAAGTCAGCCTTTAACAGATCTGTCACAGTAAAATCAAAAATAACATAACACCGTAATAGTTTAAAATCCAAATTAGAATGACAGAAACTTACAGGCCATGTTGGAAGGGTCAAAGGGGTCGAAGGAGAAGGAGAGGATATTCTCTGCATAGCTCTTTTTCCAGAGTTTGGTCCCGGTGTCTCCATTCCACAAGACAATGTAGTTTGGAGGATGAACAGCCAGGAGGAGGTCCCGTGAGGCATCTTGATTCCACAGCCACTCCAAGTCTGAAAACAAACAAGACGATTCAATTGATAGCTGGAACACTGCATTCCTCATTTATGCAATGTGATTATAGCTTTCAACTAAGTGTTGTCTACTGTATATTGTCATTAATGTTATCACAATTTATCTTTCCAACAACAAATGTCATTATGATACATCTTATTGAGAGTGCGGCTGACCTTGGATGGGTTTGGAGTGCTCCTGTATCTCACAATGGGCCGTCCCACTGACCACGTCCCACACTATGATCTTCCCCGAGGCATCGCCTGATGCCAATCGCAGACAGTACGGAGAGCTTAGGTTGTGGTAATAGTTTTCTCTCGACCATTTCACCTGCAGAAAGAAAGAAGTACATTAGATGGTAATGTGAGTAGCTTTAGTGAATGCCATAATGGTTACATAAAGTGTGTCTTCATCAAATGGATCTCATGGATGTGCTGCTTGATGTGAAGATCTGGCTCAGTATGTACCATAAGATACAATACACAATATCACCTTAAATTACAATCGATAAAAAAGAAGAAAATGGTCCAATTTAAACCATTATTTGTAGTAAACCCTGACTATGCGCATGCGTTTTGTCATAGATTGTGAGGGAAAGAAAACTTAAATGAACCCTAACCCTGATTTACTTCTGGTTTGCATGCCTTTAACAGTATTTTTCCATTTTCGGTACAATTTCCATTTCAAGAATAGAAGCTGTAAAAATGATTCAAAGCAATATACAACTCAAAGAAAGAAATGGTGCATAAATATTCATTTCTCATTAATATTGTAAGCACAATTCTTATTGTGCTATTACACAAAAGCTTTTGTTTCTCGAGTAGATCATGAGGAATGCCATCTCAGCGTCTGTGCCGCTTTACAAGATTAAAGTGCCCTTCAGAGTGAGAAATGAGAGCGACGCTGAAAATCATCAGTGGATTTATTGAACCATTATTAACTCTAATACAAAACACAAACAAAGCCACACATAAGGATACACTAGACTTCTCCATCAAGGCTCCTGTTATCTGCTGCTGTGGTTGATTTAAGCTGCCAGACTTCTGAAAGCAACTATGCCCAAGGTGACACAAAGCTAATACCAATCCAAGACAGGGAGATAAATAATAAGAGATGAGGGTTTGTGTTTGGTGGTTGCAAACAAGTAAACAGGGGTAATTAGATAAAAATGATGAGATAATAATATTGAATGCACTTTTCAAGAATTCATTGCATTACGTCTATAGCCTGGCTCAAGCCAACATTTAGCCCCGCTTACATACAACGTCTGCGAGATTTTATGTAAGCGGGGCTACTTGTCAGCTGGAGCATCACATCCATGCTCTATGAAAGAACCAGGATGCTCTGCCATTTTCAGACCTGGTAAATCTACTACGACAAATAAGTGAATAATTTTGCAAAACGGTCAAATACATTCAACAAGAAAATGTGCTATTTGCCAGAGAAGTCAAGTTTACATTTATTCAATAATAATAATTTTATTATTATTATTATTAAACAATATACATAATAATACTTAAAAAATTAACTTAAATATCAATGTATTTGTAAATACATGTTGATATTCATATTGTAGATATACATCACATGGTGAAACTAGAGCAATTTTTGCTTGATTGTATAGTTATGTTTATAGATTTTCATGTATAAGTATATACTGTAAGTACAGCAGGCAACATGTACAAAGAATCATGTAAACCAAGGAATGTAAATATTGTAAATACTTGTGATTGTAAAATTTCTGCTCGAATGAATAGAATCAAAATCAAATCAAATCAAATCAACCACTAGAGAATGTTATTAAATTGTGGATTAATAGGCAGATAAATTACCATTCATCATGCGATTATGCATATTAAGTAGGTTTAGTATTGTCTTACCTTGACAACATTAGCTTTGTGTTTCTCCAGAACTTGAATGGTCTGTGAGGTCTTTGGGTCGATAATGAGGATACTGGAGTGACATCCCTGAGCAATAAGCCCCTGCCAACCCCTGATATGACAACAATTAAAAGATTAATACAATAGCAAACAGAAAATAAACGTACCAGTGATTCTTTTAGTTTTGCCATAATTTCTTTGGCCAATGGTCAACAACAATAGAAATCATACACATAAAAAATATATATATATTTTTAGTAAGTATATGATCAGGTTATTACTACTATTCAGAAATACTACATTTTAATTGTAAATAATTTAAATAATTATGAACTAAGCCATCAAATCATAAAATCATAAAGCAAGTAATATGATGAAGAAATTAGGCAGAAGCAGGCAGTGCAGAAGTTACAGCTGTGAAAGGTATATATTTTTTAAAGGGATAATACAAAAGTGGATTAAATCAGTACTATCAATGTGTCACATACAAGTAATCTAACAAAGCAGCCTTTAATACGTAATTATGCAAAATCAGATATGCTAAAGTTTAATGTATGCTTTATTGACGCTGCATAGCATTTAAAAAATGTGCAAAGGTAATATGTCACGAATACCAGGCCATTATTATCTTGCATGACATATCACATGACAGATACAAGTCCTTCCTGCAAAGAACTACAATATATAGCAAGTACGCGGAAGAGTTCTAGAATTATTATGCATTTCTAATATCCAAATTTGTGTAAAAATGTGATCGATGCCTGCCGTAAACAGACATCCAACGCGAAAGCAATTTCCTGAGAATCGCAACATCCCTGCATCTGTCAAAAGAGAACGAGCTATCACGAAGCTAATCATTGAGCCGCGCAACTCACCAGTCCACAGCGGGCTTATTCTGCAAATTGAGAGTGCCAGTCAACGTCCGCGCCGCCAGCTTGATGTTGACCGTGTAAGGGATCATTTTTGAGGGTCAGTATCCACGACACATCCACGATTATTATCTAAAACACGACTAAGAACAGTTAGCTTCAATGAATCGCCTCTGTTGTCAATCCCAAACAGGAAGTACTTGTGTGCTTCTAAATATAGCTCCGTAGAGAAACAATGAAATCCTTGCGATGTTCCTGTGTTAAATTATAAAAAAATAAAAGGACTGCCATATTTTCTGTGGAAATATAGTGTATACATTTAATTAGATATGGAATCAAATGAACTCAACTCACTTTTTTGAAGTGTTACATACAAACAAACATCAAAACATTTCATGTGGTATGGGGCACATTTGAAGGTAATTTTAAAAGATAGATAAAGTGGACACTTGTAGTACCACTGGACAAGTGGACACTTGTAGTACCACTGCTGCACAATTCATTATTATTATATTATTACTATCATTATTATTATTATTATTAGGCCCGAGCGCTGAACTAGCGTAATGTTTTCACAATGGTGAATGCAAAGGTTCGCGGTGCGTTATTATTATTATTATTAGTAGTAGTAGTATTATTACTGTTATTACTATTATTATTATCTGATGCATGAGCTTGACAAATACAAGGCAACAGAACAAACGGCTTATAATCTGAGATGTGTAAAGGTATTGTACATGTTCACGTATATGAGTGATTTATATGATATGTAGTAATTGGATTGCTCATAATAGACTGCTGCTCTTTTCTGATTTGCTTGTTAATTATCTTCTGGTTGACTTCTGATTGGTTCGACACATTGAAAACCATGTGCACGGTCACACTATTGCTCACAGTCAATAGACATGATGTGCATTATTAAACAACAATTAAGAAAACAATTTCGGCACTGCCAAGCTCAAACAGAACAATATCAACTATCTTCCGATAGTCTCTATAGTCTGTTGATTTAAACTTTAAACTATGATAACCTTTCTTATATTTTGCATTAATACTATTCACCATTTTAGCTTGCTTTTCTTTTCAGAAACCATATGCACAAACCAACTGTTCATTTTAAGACCATTTTCACTGTAGTGCTGAACAGGAGGCTTTGAATACCCAAGGGGATTTTTTTGAGAATGGTTTAGTTAATTTGGTGCTTGAGTTTTCAATGGATCCAGAATTACATTTGCATCGACGTCCTCTGTGAATTGCACAGAGAGGCTGCCAAGAATATTTTCTGAATGTCACAATCTCTTTAATGACGGTGTCTTATGGCCAGTTTGTTCAGAAAAAAAGCACTTGTTCCACTATTTAGCTTCATAAAACTTACACCAGATCTCTCAGGAATTCCACCACTGTCAAAACACTGATATTTTTCAAACAATTACCTTCAGCTCTTTGCTTTAATGCAAATATAAATGTTAACTTAACATATTAGGTGAATTTGTTAAATCAAATGGTTGAAATAATGTTGAGAAAGCAGGATGATCAACACAGGTCAGAATGCATTTACATACCATTATGTGCATGTAAATATCCAACAATTTATTCTATACCCTAATTCAATAATTTCTCCCAGCAGCTTGTGTCAGGGCAGGGTTGAAAGGATTCCGCAGCACACCACTTACTATAATGAAAGTATAATGAGGCATTTTGGCCATGCTGTGTATCTTTAAAGTGTGTAATGGTGATTGTTTGGTTTTCTTGTGTTTTCTCCACAGTTTGCAAGGGATGCTTTCATATTGTGAATTATGTAATTACTCATTCAATTTTGTTTTGGCAGGCACACATAAGCTCCCAGACTTACTGAGGTTGAATCTGAAGGTTATAGATGCACCTCGCCTTCATGTGTTTACAATTCAAGACTGTTTTCCTTTTTCTATGTTTTACGCAGTTCAGCTTTGTCCGACTACTACTATTTTGCAACAAGTTATCCTGCTAGAATTGATATTACTTCTTGTTGACATCCATTTTGGTACGGGCACAGATTTAAAGGTTTTGCCTTCAGCTAACACCTTTATCAGGCAGCCCTGTGGGATGCCCATTATTAGATTCAGTGAGAGGTAATAAATCAGGCTTTATTTGTCTGCTTTTGCTTTCTGGTGTAGCAAAGTTTGAATTCAGCTGTTCTGCCTATGGGACCTCAGGCACCAGAGTGTAATAATGCTTCAGTAATGGAAATGGAGAGAGCACATAATTACAGTTTGGCCTGAAAGAGCGCTGGACTACACATTAGAGAATACATCAGCTGTCTCTAACATTTGGTCATTCAGTTGCAGGGCCTGGATGAAAACACATTTGCAAGCTTTTGTAAACATGATCATTCAGGATTCAAAGCTCCGTAATCAGTCACCAGATGCAAAGTGTTGTCTGAGGCGAGAAGTTAATCAGACACTTTTCTATGAGGGTCATATGACAGTGGTGTTGTGCTAATACTAATATACTTCTGGAATCTCTAGTGTTAAAAAATACACTGTAACAGCCAAGAGTCTAACCTTCTGGCGGTGACGCTATTTTTCTGGTATCAAAAACCACATTGTACATCATGTTTTTTCTTTTTATTATATTGTATACTCTCTGCCATCAAGTTCCCACGAGGATGCCACATATGCATGTCTCTTCTGTAGACCTGTGCTTGTTACAGCTGCTGCAACCTGCTTCACATTCCACTCTCACAAGCTGCAGAGTTAGAATTCAGCTCAGCACTGACAATTCCTCAGTCATAGGCTAATATAATTACAAGCCCGGTGACTGTTGTTGACATCGCTAATACAGGTGTGGCATTGTGACTGAAAAATTTGAGTCTTTATAGGCATTCAGACATGTGGTAAAGTTGCAAATTGATAGCTCATATATATGCCCATAATGATGACGGAAATGTGTCTTCAGCTTGCAGTAACACATGGATTCAAAGACAAGCATTCAAAAGATTAAAAAAAAAAAGGCTACAAATACATTAGACGTCAATTAGCATAAAATTCAAGGTCAAAGTTCAGTGCAAATATACAGTAGAAGAGTGTGTGTTACGGCACAAAAAGAGACCCAAATGGTGACACAAGCAAAGAATAGAAAAAATAACAATGTATTTAGAATGGAAGGAATTGCTGGAGGGACCGGAGGCGAATTTGAAGGCAGACAAGGAATCAGACTGGAAACACAGGAACTGCCAAAAAACAAAAACAAGGGACGTGTAAAAGACAAAAACAGCGAAACAGTTTTAGCCAACATAGAATTCTCCACTTCTCGCAGATGAAACAATCTGGCACCAACGGGCCGTAGAGCTGGGTTCTGGTAGTCTACCAGATCATCATTGCCTCTAGGTGTCCACAGCAGGCCCCACCCCTGCCCTCACCGTGTGACAGTTTGCAGCCATATAAAGCAACATGAAAGAACATAGGTAACATTAGAAGTCCGAGCTGGAGGAGCTTGGAGTAGAGCTGCTGTTCCTCCACACTGAGAGGAGCTTGCTATGACGGTCAAAATCTTGATCCCGCACAAAAACATATTTGGTTCAGTGTGAACAACAGTCTTCCTGGTATTGTGAGACAGGCCTCTTCTCTGACAATGTTCAAAACCAGGGTGAAAACAGTTAAATTTGATTCAATTCAAATTATTCTTGTATAGCCCTAAATCACAACAGCAGGTATCTCAGAGGACTTTACACAACCGTTTATTTTTCCAACACAGTTTAGAGAATCGAGCAGTTCAAACACAAGAAATAAAACAGAACACCTTGGTATTGGTCCATATGGGGCAGTTGACCAATGTCCATAAATTTAGTTTAGCTGTGCATACAACTGAAGGATTTTATCTTCACTCCTTTGAATAATTTATTTTCCTGTTTTGTTATGCGCTTTGAGTTGCCTTGCGAATGAACACTACTATACAAATAAACTTGCCTTGCCACTGGTGAATACTGCTGCGTCCTTGGCTAAAACACTTAACCCGCCTCGTCCCAAGTGTCTGGTGCACCGGTGTATGAGTGTGTGCGTGAATGGGTTATTGCTTCCTTGATGTGAAGTGGAGTGCCTTGAACATAGAAATGTGACAATTTTACATGCTGGAAGGAATATGCTTGCCCAGCCTTATCAGGATACCCCAGAAGCTAGAGCAAGTGTGCATGGAGGAGGAAGTCTGAGCATGCTGGCCCAAAAACCTGCCTCTGCAAACTGGCCCTGGATAAAGTGGAAGAATTAAGTGAGTGAATGGATGGATCGTTTTTTTCAGTAGTGATTGTTGTAACTCTGTCTCAACATTTCATACAGCCTTTAAATAACTCTAGGGGTCTTTGTATAAAAATGATTACAAAGAGTGTAATTTATCAAAAGGACAGTTGAGGTGTGAAGAATGAAAAAGATGAAAAGTCACCTGGACACACTGATGGAAGACTGTTTTGTGGCTTCAAAGGTGCTCATCCATCAGATAGCATATTTTAAACCTTTAGTTGCTTCTCTGTTACTTTTGTGCAGAAAACACACTTGTCTTTCCACAGTAGTTCTTTAATAAATCACTTTTTTTAAGTGACATTTTTTCTCATCTTCATGGTCAGTTCTGAAGTCCTGTTCTTCAAGATAATCATTGGACAAACTGACACCTCAGTACCTCCTGGTTACGTGTTCATGATCATTAAAGAGAAAAGTGTGAATTGATGACAAGAACAGACGGATTATCCTGGGACCAATCAATCGATCCCTAAAAAACTTTATTCATGTGACCTTTGTTTTGTATGTACCAGGAAGTTGAGAATTAGCCTTTGCTTTAACTGTCTGCGTCGCATCAGTTGCCTCTTTTGCTCTAACTGTCTGAATGCATTGTCCCAGGTAAAAAAAATAAAAAATAAACAAACAAGCACATAGAGCTCTTTACAACACTGACACTGAGCAAGATGCTTTCCAAAAAAATCCAATTAGTTTTGAGTTAGGACTAAACAAAACACCTTATAAACCTTGGAAAGTGCAGTTGTAGGCTTTCATTTACAGTAACGCTGATGAAACCAAAGTACACTGTAGCAACTCGGTGCTAATAGAGCACAAATTAACCTGAATGG